TAAAGGTGCACACTACAACTGCTTATGCTTTTTTAAGAGATGAAATCACACTGCATTTTCCAGGTTGGTCTCCAAATCCTGGCCTCAAGCAACCCTCCCTCCTCGGCCTTTCAAATCTCTGGGATTACAGGGGTGAGCCACAGTGCCTAGCCCTAATGGTGCTACTGACATTCTCAACTAATATTGGAGGGGCATGGTGGCTCATGCCTATAATCCTGGCTACTCAGGAGGCTGAGACAGGAGAACTGCTTGAAACTGGGAGGCAGAGGGTGCAGTAAGCCAAGATCGTCCCACTGCCCTCCAGCCTGGGGGACAGAGTAAGACTCAGGGGGGGAAAAAAAACAGAATAAAAAAACAGACATGAGCCCTTCCTCACAGACCATATGGTAAACATTAATTTCAGTATGAATGAGAAACATAATGAAGGCTATTAACAAGAGTTACATAGTATTATGAGAGCTTATGATAGGGGGGATGTGATGAGTCAGGGAGGAAGGGAATGCTTCCTCGACAAAGTGACACATGAACTGAGATGAGAAGGTGTGGAGGCACTAATTAGGTGCAGAATGAAAGGAAAGATATTTCCTGCAGATGGGACAGCATGGACAGTGGTTTATTGTAAGTATGCAGGCCTGAAATGAAACTACTCTAGGCTGGACTGCTGAGAATGAAAGAGACTAGTGTACAAGACAAAGCTGCAGAGATCCTACTCCATCATTCCCCAAGGATGCAGCACTCTGCAGACTAGTGCGACTCAAAGTGCCACTGGACAATGAGATAAAGAACTTGTTCTAGAATGTAACTCCACATAATGCTGTTTTCATGAAGAAAGTCTCATTCTGAAGAAAACTTGTCTACTGATCTAAGCAGTATGTTTAGGGCACATGTGATTTACATTCTGAATTGAGCTCCTCATCTTATAAGAACAGTAACAGTTCTAAAACCAAATGCCAGTGTGTGTACTCCACACTGAGTGGAGTACCATTTGAGACCTCTGTGAAGTCTGTCTTTATCCCCAGAGCAAAGGGAAGTCAGACGGATTTGCAGAGGAGGTGGTGGTGGCTGCAGGGTGGAGCATGGATTGAAAGGCAGCTGAACTCAGAAGACAGAAGGCAAGAAAGTTTGCATTTGGAACTTGTCTGCCTGGTGAAGTAAGAGATGTCCTGTTCAGGTGACAGAGCAGGGATGCAGAATGAAGTATACTGCTGTATTAGTCTGTTCTCATGCTGCTAAGACATACCTGAGACTGGGTAATTTATAAAGGAAAGAGGCTTACTGGATTCACAGTTCTACATGACTGGGGAGGCCTCACAATCATGGTAGAAGGCAAAGCAGAAGCAAAGGCATATCATACATGGCAGCAGGCAAGAGAGTGTGTGCAGGGGAACCCCCATTTATAAAACCATCAGGTCTTGGGAGACTTATTCACTATCACGAGAACACTATAGGGGAAACCACCCCCATGATTCAATTATTTCCACCTGGCTCTGCCCTTGATGTGGTGATTATTACAATTCAAGGTGAAATTTGTGTGGGGACACAGCCAAGCCATACCAAGTAGCAACATGAAAAGAATGAAGGAGATTTGGAACAGTCATTGTGAGTCACCATAAGGAAGGTAATGGGAAAAAGAAATGAGGACCACATGTCCATTAAAATAAGACAGCTTATGTTGTTGACCAGGTTGACATTGCTCTGTGCCTGGATCCATCAAATCTCATTGCTCTGGAAGCAAGTACAGACAGGATGAATGTTAGAGATGAGCAGATAACATTAGCATTGTGGTTCTATGGAAAGGTAAGTGGGCTAGGAAGTCTAGGTTTAACGTTGCCTGGATTGACTGGGAGTAGAGTACAGTGAATAAGAGCTTAAATGATACCATTTACCTGTATTCTACTCAAACACTCATTCAGCAGATCCCCTGAAGGAGGAGACCCCATCTCCTACACGACCCCATAGAATATCCCTCCCAAGTCATGCACCTGCAGGGAAGCCAAGGCATTTCGTCTTGGGCCAGGTGTGAGCCTGGTTGTTGGAGGATCCCAGAGGTACCTCAGAAAGGCAGTTTTCATCCAGTGTTCAGGGAAGCATGTGCGTGAACCCACCAGATGCTGAAAGATCAACTGGAGCCACTTTTTCTTGAAGCAACTATTAAGTCATAATTTAACTGAAGCAGAGAAGAGATTATCAGGCAAGTCTTGAAAGAAATCTTGCCACACTAAAAATAAATAAGCACAGGAAACATAAATCTTAAATTAATATGTTAAATATTATTAATATGAGGAAGTCTTCTCAGAGCTGCATGCATAGGCAGTGGCCACAAGATGCTAGCAAAAGTTTGTGGGGATAATAGGGAAGAATGTTCCTATAATTAGTCGTTATTCCACACTTGTGCTAGGCATAGGGAATGTAAGCATGAATGTGACATGGTCCTTGCCTTCAAAGGGCTTACAGACTGGAAGGAAAACGATCTAAAAAGATGCTTATCATTGGATGTTCTAAGTGTGATACTACAGGGATGTCAGGGAGCACAGCACTGAGGTACTAACCAATTAATGGAGGAGAGATGAGGGTAAAAGAGAAACAGGCTTTCTAGGGAAGGTGCCCCAAACCAAGGCTGGGAAAAGAATGGAAGTTAACCCACTAAATAAAGAAGCAGTCTATGGAAAGACCCAGATAGCAATAATAGGACATCAGAAACTTCAAGCAATTCTGTGTGTCTAGAGAAGACATGTAAGGAAGAATATAGCAAGGAGAGAGAGAACAGAGGTAGTCAAATTATTAAGGAACCTGTATGTCAAGCTACAAAATATAGATCTGATCTGACAGCAATGAGAAATCTTGGCTTTCTAGGGGGCAATTTGATGGAGGAAGAGAACTATCTGTATTAGAAGTCATCTGCCTAAGGTGGATAAGTTAAGGCTGAGCAGAATACAAGAATACCCAGAGAAACTATAATATGTCAGAAGGGGTGAAAGCTGAGAGGAGAAACCTGAAGAACAGCAACATTTAGAATGGGTAAGCAAGAGAAGCCAAAGAATGAGACTAAGAAGAAGAAATTCCAGAGGTAAAGAAAAAAAAAATCAGGTGGCTTCATGGGAAAACAGGGAGGAGGGAGTTTTAAGGAAGTAACAGACACTAACTACATTAATTGATGCTGGAGACTAGAAAGAAAATGGACATAGAAACAAAGAAACCATAGCCAAGGCCAGGCGCAGTGGCTCATGCCTATAATTCCAGCACTTTGGGAGGCTGAGGTGGGCGGATCATCTGCGGTTGAGAGCTCGAGACCAGCCTAACCAACATGGAGAAACCCGGTCTCTACTAAAAATACAAAATTAGCCAGGCATGGTGGCACATGCCTGTAATCCCAGCTACTCAGGAGGCTGAGGCAGGAGAATCACTTGAAATTGGGAGGCAGAGGTTGCAGTGAGCCAAGATCACACTATTGCACTCCACAGTGGGCAACAAGCGAGAAATTGTCTCAAAAAAAAAAGTTATAGTTACAGTTGGAAACAATTTAAATTTCCATCAACAGAAAAATAGACGCATTATTGTATGTTTCTACATGGAAATTCTATATACAACAAGGAAAATAAATGAATAGCTCTATATGTCAACATGGATGAACCTAGTAAAGGTAACAATAAAGTAAGAAAAGAAAACATAGAATGTTATATACTTACTTACATATATAGCAGAAGTATTAAGACATACATTGGAATGATGAATACCAAGTTCAAAAGAGCAGTTATCTCAGGGTCAGTTAAAGAGTAGTTGTGATTGGGAGGGTGGTTACACAAGGCTCCTCAACAGGAATGGTAATGTTTCATTTCTTAAGCTGGTTTATGAATATACAAGTGTTTACTATATTATGATTTGAGCATGTCGCACATAAAAATCACTGGTGACCATATCTCCATAATTTTAGAGGCACGTGCATGTGTGGGTGTGTTGGTAGTAAGTTAGGGTATCCAGAATGCAGTGGGTGGAAGAGGAATCCAATAAACACAATGTCTACCAGAGGACTATCATTGTTCTAATAATTGGATACAAATAGAGGGAGGGGTCCATTATCTAGATACTTCCACTTAACTTTCCTTTCCCTCAGTTTCCTCTATTGTAAACTAGAATGTAATAGTATATTCCTTGAGGAGATGTTAGGAGAATGAAATGAAATTTCATACTTAAACAGTGCTTAAAATAATCCCGAGGACATTATTTCAAGTAAGTACTAGTTATCAGGGAGTTAGCCAACATCATCAGTACAAAACAAACTGATTCACGCAAACACAATGAAGTCCTGAATTCATGAAACACTCTTCAATTTGCCAGGAACAGTGTGAGATATGCAAAAACTACGGAAATTAAGGCTTTTTTGTAGACATTAACACGGACACAAAAGATTCAATGGACGGCAGTTCACGTTCAATCAGCAATTGCTACATTCCTTGAGTGCAGTCTCTGTGCTGGTTGGATGCTGCGAGCAGACACATTCCTCAGATGTTTAAATTATTTTTTAAAAGTGTGTTGTTATATCCGTATTTCACTTTTCTTTCTTTCTTTTTTTTTTTTTAGATGGAGGTTCACTTTTGTAGCCAGGCCGGAGTGCAGTAGCGTTTGCGCTACTGCAGCTCACTGCAGCCTCCGCCTCCCGGGTTCAAGCGATTCTCCTGCCTCAGCCTCCCGAGTAGCTGGGATTACAGGGCACGCCACTATGCCCGTCTAACGTTTCTATTTTCAGTAGAAACAGGTTTCACCACGTCGGCCAGGCTGGTCTCGAAGTCCTGGCCTCGTGATCCGCCCGCCTTGGCCTCCCAAAGTGCTGGGATTACAGGCGTGAGCCACCGCGCCCTACAACACATTTTACTTTTATTCGGATCGATCGGTAAACTTTCACAAACCCTCAAACTCACTCGACCACCATCTCAGGTCCCAGCCAGCTCACCCGTCCTCAGGAGGCGGGGCCTGCGTGCAGACGCACAGCGAGCGCGTTGACGTCTTCGTGCACCGCCTCGCGGCACCGCCCACCGGCTTGAAACCCGGCGCCTCAGAGGACTATGCTGCGGGCGCCAACCGCCAGGGCCTCTGGGCGGGAGGCAGTGCGGTAGCCGGGAGTTGAGGGAACGGCCTAGCCTGGAGCTCCGACCTTGCGTCTTCCGACCTAACAACCCCGGCTTCTGAGCCTGGTGTGGGGCCGCCGCCTCCGCCTGGCCGTGGAGGCCGGAGCGGCCGGGCGGAGACTTCGGACTCCTGGGTGGGCGCGGGCGGCGTCTCTGCTGCGGGCATCCCCCGAGGCCGCGCTCGGGCCATGATCGACTCGGTGAAGCTGCGCCGCGACAGCGCGGCGGACTTTTTCTCACACTACGAATACCTTTGCGCGCTGCAGGACTCGGTGCCGCTGCCCGCCTTGCGCGCCTGCCTCCGGGAGGGCGTGCTGGACTTCAACGCAGATCGCCTCCGCGGGGTGGACTGGGCGCCTCTGTTGAGCACCCTCAAGATCAATAAAGACCTGCCCTTGATCTCCATCAAGAGCTACTTCCAGCCTTGGCTGGGGGACACAGGTTTGTAGTTCCCGCCTCCAGGGCCCCTCAGTCCGTGCGGCGAAGCGGGTTTTTAGGTGGGTGGTGTCCAGTGCTGGGGTATGTGTGCAAAGGACTGGGTGTGTGGCCTGGACACTCACGAGCTAGGTGAGTCGCTTAAGGTCTCTAGGGCCTCAGCGTGCTCATCCGTAACATGAACTTAATAAAGAGACCTGGGTATGTGCCTATTGCTAGGATTCCCTGCGCTGCTGATGCCTGCAGAGCTCTTAGCACAGTTTGGGACGTCATTAAACATTGGACAGATGTTACCTATTTTATTGAATGACCTTAATTTGCCTGATAGAGAACTAAGCAGGTAGGAAGTTAATACATGTCAGCCTTTGTCTTTTTTTTTTTTTTTTTTTAAGATCTGTGTCACTGTCGCCCGGGCTGGAGTGCAGTGACAGGATCGTGGCTCATTGCAACCTCCGCCTCCCAGGTTCAAGCGATTCTCCTACCCCAGCCTCCCTGGTAGCTGGGACTACAGGCACGCACCACCACTCCCGGCTAATTTTTGTGTTTTTATTAGAGAGGAGATTTCACCATGTTGGTCAGGCTGGTCTCAAACTCCTGACCTCGGGGGGTCCGCTTTCCTCGGCCTCCCAAAGTGCTGTAATTACAGGCGTGAGCCACCGTGCCCGGCCTGTCTTCATTTTTTAAGGTGTATATAAGAAATGTGTAAAGTGCTTTACAAATACAAGCCATTTATAAATGTAAGGTGGTATAATTAGGGATCCAGATTCTTTGATTATTCGGAAAATATGTTAGGTCAACCATGATATATAATAAAATGCTGTTATTCCGTCGAGCACTTAGCAATTTTTACATAATGGAGGCAGCTTCCTATAGAAGCTAGCTAGTAGGTAACAGGAGGGAACAGTTTATGCAAAAGTTTTGGAAGTAGGAGAGAGTATGGCAAGCTGAGGCACAGGACCGGAATATAAGGTTGGAGAAAGAGCAAAGAGAGTTGAAGCTGGAAACCTCGTGGGGGCCAAACAGGGAGGGTCTTTGTCCTATCACGGAGTTGGATGTTTATCCTGAAGGTTTTGGGAAACCATTTTAGGATGATGAGATGGAATTTCTATAGGAGCTCACTTTAGCCTCCATACGGAAGGCAAATTAAAATTGGAAGGAGAATAAATTGTTGTAATCCAATGGCCCAAATTAAGGTACAGAAAAGAAGGGCTGGGGCCGGGCACTGTGGCTCATGCCTGTACTCTCAACACTTTGGGAGGCCAAGGCAGGTGGATCACCTGAGGTCAGGAGTTTGAGACCAGCCTGACAACATGGTGAAACCCCATTTCTACTAAAAATGCAAAAAAAAAAAATTAGCTGGACGTGGTAGTAGGTGCCTGTAATCCGAGCTACTTAGGAGGCTGAGGCAGGAGAATCGCTTGAACTCAGGAAGTAGAGGTTGCAGTGAGCCTAGATTGTGCCATTGCACTTTAGCCTGGGCAACAACAGCGAAACTCCATCTCAAGAAAAAAAGAAAAGAAGGGCCAGATTTCAGGTATCTAAGAGAAGGTAGGGGCCTGGTGACCAGTTAGAAGAGGAGGGCAGCAAATGTGGGTGACAGTTTACAGCAGCATCTGTAAGTGAAACACAGCAGCATCTTTCCATGACACACAGCTGAGCTGAATGAGATTGGGGGTGGGAAGAGGATCTCAGTTTGTCTTTAATGTTTTAAGAGGGGCCTGTGGGGCATCCAAATGTGTCTGCTAGGCAGATCTGGACCCAAGATACAGGCTTTGTGGGAGGACAGGTATTAGAAAACATGGGAGGGACCTAGATTACCCACAAAGAAGATGCAGATAATCGTAGGTCTGAAAGGTGTTTTTTAAATGGATGTGGATGTGAATATGTTTGTAAACTGAGAGAAAGATGGAGGATGTGTGATATAGGAGAGGAAATGATTGTTGATATATTTAAAAACAACCTGACCACTTTGTCTTGTGCCTAGCCCTTTTCTAGGTTCTGGGGTTAGCACCATCTCTTCTACAAGTACAGTTCAATACATATACTTCTGAAAATAAGTTAGGTTATTCTCTACATCTCATTCAGCTGTAGGAACTGTTCTTTACCTCTGAAGGGATTTTACTTAACCTAAATAATAACAGGAACCAGGCCAGGTACGGTGGCTCACACCGGTAATCCCAACACTTTGGGAGGCCAGGAGTTTGTGACTGATCTCACAACACAGTGAGACCCCTGTCTCTACAAAAGGTAAAAAACATTAGCTGGATGTGGTGGATCTCTTGAGCCCGGGAGGTTGAGGCTACAGTGAGCCATGATTGTGACCTGTACTCCAGCCTGGGTGACAGAATGAGATCCTGTCCATGACACACACACACACACACACACACACACACACCCCAAAAGAAGTTAAAGATGGGAGAGACCTTAGAGTCAAGGCTAGCCTACTAGATCTTGCCTATTATTTTTCACTGAATGTAAGAAAAATGTATTATAGACCATGTCTCTTCAGATATTCTTCACTGAACCTTCTTTATCTCTTGCATCTGGTTGGTCTAGTTTGTAGACTTTAACATTGTTAAAAGGATTGCTGTGCCTCCTTAATTACATTTTACCTGGACGATTGCAGAAGCTCCTAGCTAGTTTTGCTGCCCCTCAGTTCATCTGCTTTCTTTGGTTCAAGTGATCTTTCTAAAAAGAAAAGATATGCTTAAAGTGGCATGCCCACACAGGACCAGTGTGTATTAGTTTCACAGCTTGTGTTCTGCACAGAGGCACTGAAATCCCAGCTGTGTTCTGTCAAATCTCCTGGGGTTAGTTCATCTTGAGGAAGAGGAGCTTTTTCTCATTTCCTTGATCTCTTTTGTCCTCCAGTAGTGAGGTACATTTTTCTAACCTGCTAGGGGTACCCTTAATGTGTCAGTGGTAGCCCTGGTCTTCATCACCTGTGAGGTAATAGCCAACTCTGCCAGGCTTGCTTCTGCCTGCCTCTGTATGTTTGACTCTTCCTGCTAAACCTCTGGGCTTTAGTCATCTCTACCTGCAGTTTTCCAGTGCCCGGCAGGTGTCAGGTTTAGATGCTTTTGCTCATGCTGCTCCCTCTGGTTAGTGCAGCAACCACTCTGACCCTATGTTGTCATTCTCATCTTTCTAGATTCAGCTTCAGGGTTATCTTGAATCCATCCCTTCAGTGCAACTTCTTTGCTTCCATAAGAACCTCTATGTACGTAGTTTGTGTGTATCTCATGTGGCTTGAGTTTACATGTGTCTGTCATTAAGAGGACTTTAAGGACATGGGTCATTTCTATATCTTAGCATAGAGAAGATGTTTTTGAATAATAAATTGTAGGATTGAAGTCACTAATTTTCCTTTATGTTTGTTTTAGGTTCTGACATAAATAAAGTTTGCAGAAGTCGTGTTCCTGTGATAAGATGCAAAGATGTGAGCTTTCAGTTGTGTAAAGCTCTTAAAGGCTGTTTAAGTATATCAAGTGTGCTAAAGAACCTGGAGCTAAATGGACTGATTCTGAGAGAGAGGGATTTAACTATTTTAGCAAAGGTAAGTGTTCTCTAATTTGGCCTGTAGACATTTGATAGTTGCTTTTGGAGGAAAAAAACCTCAGTAACATTTTTAACTTTTCTCCCTCATTAAAGGGATTGAATAAATCGGCTTCTTTGGTGCACCTGTCTCTTGCAAATTGTCCAATTGGAGATGGAGGTTTAGAAGGTGAGTTTAAATCTCATTTCACTCTTGTCCTATCAGGCTGGTTTCATCTTTCCCTACATGCCTTGCTAATTCCCATCTGTACCTTTCTCTTACTACTGCCTCATGTGCTTGTTCAAACCTTGGTCCAGTCTCAAGTCTACCATTAAAGCTTGGCATGCTGAATATAATCTGAACTAACTTTACTTAAGTTTGTGTTAAACCACAGACCACACAAATACATACCATCTGGTATTCTCTGCTTTTTGTGTTTGTTCACTGTTTAGGGATTTTCTTCAGGAAATATTTATGGGGAGGAAATAGCAAGATATAAAGAGAAAAATCATTATTTTAAATAGTTAAAACAGATATACAATCAACTTTAATGTACTGTGATATGTTCCAAAATAGAAAATATAAGCAAAGTGCTATATAGGAGCATATAAAAGACTGGCAAACTCAGGGGGGAAGGGGGTGGGGGTCATGAAAATAATCACAGAAGGTGACTATTGGTTGGGATCCTGAAGTCTTGATTTGTGTTCATTGTGTAGAATAGTGGTCTGGAGGGGTAAGGAAGCCTGTATTTCAGTTTGAGGGAGCAGAGAGTTTGAAGTCCTCTGTCTTCTATTCTAGCATGTTAGATGCTCAAGTATAGCACCTAATAAATTCTGTGTTTGTAGTTGACACCAAATTGTTAATTGATAACATATTGAGGTCTGCTGTTGGAAATGAAAATAGGAAGAGTTTTATGTTTTTTATGTTTTTCTTTCAGATGTCTCAAAACATACACAGAACTGCACTGTGTGGTTGAGAGTAAGGTGGCAATATTCAGGCTATTCAATTTTAGCATCTCAGTCGAATTGAACTATTGCTATAGAATGGAGTAGCTCTTTGTTACTGACACATTTTATGGTACATAGAATGTACCAATCTGTCAGTTTCTTTGGTAGATTGTAATAGTGATTTTAAGACTGCAACTATAAACTAGAAAAGATACAAGATGAGCAAATAAATCAAGATTGACTGGATTGTATAGACTCTTCATCTTATTCTATGTGTGTGTGTTTTTTTTTTTTCATTTTAGTTATTTGTCAAGGTATAAAGAGCTCTATCACTCTTAAGACAGTTAACTTCACAGGATGTAATCTGACATGGCAGGGAGCAGATCATATGGCCAAGATCTTAAAGGTAACTTTATGTTCCAACTTTCATGAAAGTGTGTTATATGATTGCCACACATTAATATTTTGTTACAAGACAGCAGTTATTTTTGTCTTTTGATACATATGAGGATTGCAGCTTTGTTTAAAGAATGTGACCAATTTTCAGCCTTGGATTCTACCATTTAGTAAAGGTAGTATGCTTAATCTTAGAAATAGGAGACTTAAAATATAATAATGTTTTTCTGTAAATATGGTTTGTAAAACAGTAATTTTAAAGGTGCCTTAACAACTTTATAGTGGTTATAACTACTATATTTAGGATAAAATTACATACTAATTTGACATGAAGCCTTTTTTAGTAATTTGATGGTACAGATCAAGGGTCGTCAAACTGTGGCCTGTGGACCAAATCTAGCCTATCACCTATTTTTGTAAATAAAGTTTTTGAAACATAGTCATGCCCATTTGTTTACATACTAACTATTGCTACTTCCACCCTACACTAGGAGAGTTGAGTAGTTGCAAAAAAAACTGTATGACCCACAAAGCTGAAAATGTTTATTTTGGGGCCTTTACAGTGAAAGCCCACTCTCTATGGGATAGATAATGGTTAAGAATGTGGATTCTGAAGCCAGATGGCCTAGTTTAAAACCCAGGCTCTCTCCCATTTAATAACTTGTGACCATGGGCAAATTACTTAACCTCTCTGTGCCTCAGTTTTCTCATCCATCAAATGTGTATAATAAATAAGAAAACCTACTGTCTCTATCATTCTGAGGATTTATTGAACTTATGTATATAAAATAGTGCCTGGCTATCTTAAGTGTTTGCTGTTATTTCCTCTTATTGCTTTTATACAGTTATTCTGAATAGAAAATGGCACAATTTTCATTTGACAGAGTCAATAGGAGCTTTAAATCTTTTGTTGTTTTAGAATGTAATAAGATTTTTTTTTTCTGTTAAAATCAGTATTCCCTGTTACCAAAATTTACTTTATGGATATAGAGAATCGATTATGCCTTTAAGATAACACCTGTGGTTTAAATTCAACCCACCAATTTCTTAAGGCATATCAACCTGGCTTTGTATATTCCAGGCCTCTAAATTTGGTGTGTAAAAGCTTAGAAATATGTGAGATCCCTTAGGTTAAGAGAAGAAAATATTAACCTCTATATTTGTTTTTATATCATTTAAAAAATCTTTTGTTTCTGTTTGGCTTATAATATACATAAAATATGTATATTGAACTCCTTGTTTATAGTTTATTAATACATAACATACATGTTAAATGTTTACTTGCAGGATGGCCCGTCAAGTGTTTAGAGACCACTAGAGAACAGAATGATATAACTTAGAGGCTTAGCAATGATAGAATTTAGAACCAGTACCTTCACTTGGCATAAAGCAAATAAAATTATTAGAAGTTAATTGAGTTATCAGTTTACATAAAGTAATCAGTAATAGGTTATTAGTGGTTAGGGTCAGAAAACTAGTCAGTGGCAGACCAGGGTCTGGGACACTGGACTCCTTAATCAAAATCAATTTCATCAGTCTCTCAGATGAACCCTCCTGGCATAGGTACTTGGTTTGTGTGTAAAGCTCTGATGTAATCAGCTGTATTTAGTTCCTTTCAGTGTTCCTGTTTATCCAAGTGTATTAATTTCATCTTATTAAATCTTTGAAGTATCAGACCATGAGAAGGCATGAAGAAACCTGGGCTGAGAGTCTTCGCTATAGGAGACCTGATCTTGACTGTATGGCTGGCTTACGGCGCATCACCTTGAATTGCAACATACTCATTGGTGACCTAGGTGCGAGTGCTTTTGCAGACTCTCTCAGTGAGGATTTATGGCTGAGAGGTAAGTTAAATGAAAATATTGAATTTTTTGATATTAAATATGCTTAACTCTTGGCACAATAATGTTGTCTTAAGGTTTTTAAAAAGCCTCCTTTTTTCTAATAGGTTTTATTTTCCTTTTAAGCCTTTATAAAAGTTACATGTATTTTTTTTATACAAAATACCATGTAACCAAAAAAAAATTACTGCCTATGAACTCAATGCCTAGAGATAAACTATTCATTTTGGTGTATATACGTTCAGTATTTTTTTTCCCTGCAGATATATTTGTGTGCTTAGAGTTACAAGAACAGAACTGTAGTGCACTTACTATTTTGTAACTCTGCTTTTTTCATTTAATGATGTATCATGTCATACTCTATTACACTGACGCATAATAGTTTAATTCCCTACTATTTGATATTTAGACAGTTTGTGCTTTTCCCCTATTATAAACAACTCTGTGGTAAACTCCTTATGCATACATCTCTGTGTCCATTGAACTTACTTTTTTTTTTTTTTTTAAAACAGGGTCGGGCTGGGCGTGGTGGCTCATGCCTGTAATCCCAGCACTTTGGGAGGCCGAGGCGGGTGGATCACGAGGTCAAGAGATCGAGACCATCCTGGTCAACATGGTGAAACCCCGTCTCTACTAAAAATACAAAAAATTAGCTGGGCATTGTGGCGCATGCCTGTAATCCCAGCTACTCAGGAGGCTGAGGCAGGAGAAAATTGCCGAACCCAGGAGGCAGAGGTTGCGATGAGCCGAGATCGCACCATTGCACTTCAGTCTGGGTAACAAGAACGAAACTCTGTCTCAAAGGAAAAAAAAAAAAAAAAATACAGGGTCTTGCTCTGTTGCCCAGGCTGGAGTTCAGTGGTGTAATCATAGCTCACTGTAGCCTTAAACTCTTGCTCAAGTATCCTCCCACTTCACCCTCCTGAGTAGCTGGGACTACAGGTGCACACCACCATGCCTGGCTAATTTTTTGTATTTTTGTAGAGACAGGGTCTTGCTGTGTTGCCCAGGCTGGTCTCAAACTCCTGGGCTCAAACAATCCTCTTGCCTTGGCCTCCCAAAATGCTGGGATTATAGGCACAATCCACTGTGCCCCGCCTGAAGTTAATTCTGTAGGATAAATTACTAAAGTTGAGTAACTCAGTATAATAGATCTCTTAAAAACTTTTGATACATGTTACCAAATTGCCTTCCAGAAATGCTGTGCCATATAGTCTCATAAATACTGGATTGTGTCTGTTTTAAAACCTTAAACTTTACAAAAGTTTACCTTTTGTAAACTTTTTTTCTTTTTTAATGCAAATGGGATTGCTCTCTGAATTTTACAATTTTTTTCACTTATTATAGCATATCTTAAATCAATAAATTTACATTTACCCTACAATTTTTAATGCCTGTTCAGAGTTCCATTATGTTAATATGCCATAGTACACTTAGCTTATCTATTCCTTTAAGATATATAAGCTGGGGTCCAAAGTGGCTCCCGCCAGAGCTCATGGCGCTCGCGAAGGCGAGGTCATCAGTTCAAGGCTAACCTGAGCAACCTCATAAGCTCAAACTGATTGGCAAAAAAAAAAAAGATATATAAGCTATTTCCAATTTTTCATTGTTATAAACAGTACTTTGATACATGTCCTTACCCATGTCTCTTATTATTTCCTTTTGGTAAATTCTTAGGACAGTTGCTGTGTTAACAGAGCCTACACATTTTAAAGGTTTTTTTTTTTTTTTTTTGGAGGAAGGCAGGAAGGGAGGGAAGGAGGAAGGGAGGGAGGAAGGAAGAGATGAAGGAAGGAAGGAAGGGAGGAAGGGCGGAGGGAGGGAGGAAGGAAATCAAGCAATGAGAGAGACATTGCTGACCTGGATCTAGAGGTTTACAAGTTGATTTCTTTTTTTTTTTTTTTTTCTTTTTTTGAGAGAAGGAAAGAAAAAAAAAATGAGTAAAGGAGAGGAAGAAAGAGGAAGAGAAAGAGGGAGGGTGAACAGAAATATTGTTTTATTCTGAAAAAAAAAATGGGTATTAATAATGGCCAATCAATGTTTCATTTAAACCTATATGAGTAGGTGTGATGTGGTATTGACAAGAATGTATATTTTGTGTATTTGTAGTGGAGAGCTCTATAAATATTTATTAACTTTACTTGTTTCGGATCTGAGTTCGAGTCCTTGATATCCTTATTAATTTTCTGTCTTATTGAATCTAAGTCTCTACGTATCTGGGTGTTAGGATCATTAGCTCTTGTTGTTGCATTGATCCTTTTACCACTATATCTTTGTTGCTTTAAAATCTATTTTATCCGATACGAGAATTGCAACTCCTGCTTTTTATTTATTTATTTATTTATTTATTTTTGCTCTCCATTTTGTTGGTAAATCTTTCTCCATCCCTTTGTTTTGGGTCTTTGTGTATCCTTGCATGTGAAACAGGTCTGGATGTAACATGCTGTTGGGTTTTGACTGTGTCTTTTGATTGGGGGATTTAGTCGATTTAAATTTAGGATTACTGCCATTTGATGTTAACTGGCTGTTTTATCCATTCGTTGATGTAAATTCTTCTTTATGTTGGTGCTCTTTACTTTTTGGTATATTTTTCGAAAGGCTAATACTGGTTGTTTCTTTCTGTGTGTAATGCTTCTTTCAGAAGCTCTTGTAAAGCAGGCCTGGTGGTAATAAAATCTCTGAGTTCTTGCTTGTTCATAAAAGATTTTATTTTTCCTTCAGTTGTGAAGCTTAGTTTGGCTGGATATGAAATTTCTGGGCTGAAGGTTCTGTTCTTTGAGGATGTTGAATATTGGCCCCCACTCTCTTCTGGCTTGTAGGGTTTCTGCTGAGAGATCTGCTGTAAGTCTGATAGGCTTCCCTTTGTGGGTAACCTGACCTTTCTCTCTGGCTGCCCTTAGTATTTTCTCCTTCGTTTCAACCCTGGTGAATCTAACGATTATGTGCCTTGGGGTTGCTCTTCTTGAGGAATATCTTTGTGGTGTTCTCTGTATTACCTGGGGTTGAATATCAACCTGCTTTGCTAGTTTAGGAAAATTTTCCTGAATAATATCCTGATGGGTATTTTCCAGCTTGGATTCATTCTCTCCGTCACATTCAGGTACACCTATCAAACGTAAATTTGGTCTTTTCACATAGTCCCACATTTCTTGGAGACTTTGCTCATTCCTTTTTATCCTTTTTTCTCTAATCTCGTCTTCTCATTTTATTTCATTAAGTTGGACTTTGACCTCTGATATCCTTTCTTCTGCTTGAACAATTCGAGTGTTTAAACCTGTGCATACTTCTCGGAGTTCCTGTATTGTATTCTTCAGTTCCATTAATTCACTTATATTCCTCTCTAAGTTGTCTATTCTCAATAGGATTTTGTCAAACCTCTTTTCAAAGTTCTTAGTTTCTTTATGTTGGGCAACAACATGTTCTTTTAACTCACAGAAGTTTCTTATTATCCATTCCTTGAAGAGTGATTCTGTCATTGGGATGCGCTCGTTCTCCATCAAGCCTTGTTCCATTGTTGATGTGGAACTGTGATCATCTTTAGAGGGAGAGGCGTTCTGATTTTGAGTATTCTCAGCCTTTTTATGCTGGTTTCTTCCCATCATTGTATATTTATCCTCCTGTCGTCTTTGAAATTACCTACTTTCAGATTAGGTCTCTTGAGTGGACGTCCAAGTTGTTAGTTCCCAGGGCCAGAACAGCGGCATTAAGATTGATGGTGCTTTTCTGCCCAGGATTCTCCTGTCTGGCTTCCTTCTTGTGTTCATAATAGGCGACTCTGCCTTCCGGGGACTCCAAACCTCGGTCAGAAGGGGAACCAGTCTTGTTTACTCTGCGCCGAGAGCTGCCGCGCCGAGGTGCCATCACAACCACTGCACCGGCCTCAGGAGTCGTGCTGGGGACCCGTGTGGGTCCTCCAAACCTCGATCAGAAGGGGAGCCAGCCCTGTTTACTCTGCTCCGAGAGCTGCCACGCTGAGGTGCCGGAGAAACTGCTGCGCCTGCCACAAGAGTCGCGCTGGCGACCCGTCTGGCTCCTCCACTGGGGTTCTTCTGCTCCGTGAGTGACCAGAATTTGTCTGAAAGTGTGGCATCCTCTGGTTCTCTGCGCTTTCGCTGAGAGCTGCAATCCCGAGATGTTAGCGATTGGCCATCTTGGATCGTTCTCCTCGTTTTTTTTTTTAAAATGTGACCTTCACCAATCTGATAGCATAATCACATTTAATTGTTGTAGTTTATATTCATTTGATTTACTAGTGAGATTTACTAGCTATTTTTATTAATTTGACTAGTTGGATAATTATATCCTATGCTCATTCTTTGGCAGTAAGAATTTGTAAAGGTTGTACCATATTCTATCAGTTCCATGTATCTGACTTATTTCTGTGTCTTTTGGTGTCTTAGGGCTTCATGGTATATTCTCTGATATTCTGTTACAGAAGCATATAACAGAATTCTATTCTGGGTGACTTAAAGAGAAGACATTTATTTCTCACAGTTCTGGAGACTGGCAAGTCCAGAATCCAGCTGCCAGTAGACAGGTGTGAGGTGAGGGCATTCTTCCTAGCTTATGGAAGGCTTTTGTATCCTGAAATGGTGGCGAGAGGGAGCTCTAGTATCTTTTTTTTCTTAGAAGGACACTAATCCCATGATGAGGGCTCTACTCTCGAGACCTCAACTGAACCTAATTATCTCTCAAAGGCCCCACTTCCTAATACTACCCTGTTTGGGATTAGGGTTTTAATTTATGTTTTGGGGAATACAAGCATGTAGTCCATAACATGATAACATGGGGTTTTGAAACACTTCAATTATTTGAATGTAATGGTATACATGGTGCTTTTGCTCTGATGTAATCTTTTTTTATACCTGTACTTTTGTGATAATCCTTTTGGGTTTAAATGAGTAGATTGTTTAACCTCAGTGTTACTAGTATTTATGAGCATTTGTTTAGTTCTTTGACTTTTTATTTGAGGGAGAGTTCATGACCATCATTTTTTCCTGATAGGTTTTTAGTGTGTAATCTCTATTCACACATTCTTTGGATTCATTATTTCTATCCCCATAGTGTTCTTTCTTTGTTATTTTTATTCTAAAACTAACAGTTTTTACATTTTTCTATTTTCTTTTCCCTTTTTAATGTAATGTTTTGAGTCATTTCGAGTTTGAATTTGAATTTGAAGATTAATCTAATGCAATTTCTGAGTTCCACCCAGAACTCAGAAATTTTTTGCCTATGAGGTTTATACTGTCACTAGCATCCTTCCTAATTGTGAACAGATATTCTGTGATGTTTTATATAGAGCTGTTTTTCAGCTCCGTAATTATAAAATGTGTTGGATAATTTATTGGTACTCAAGGGAAGATAATCATGGCACATCCAAGAAGAGGGTTTCTTTTTTGGACTATGTGTGTGCATATGCTTTTCTATTTTCATTTTGTCAATACCCAAGATTAAAAACTGGCCATGAGTAGTCTTGGGCAGTAGTCTTCCAGGCATTAATAAATGGGAGTTGTCTTGTATGTTAAATCTGTATGGAATTAACAAGTGACCCTTTGTCTTTCATCGAAAGCTCTTGACCTGCAACAGTGCGGCCTTACCAATGAAGGAGCAAAGGCTTTGCTACAGGCCCTTGAAACCAACAGAACTCTGGTCATTCTGGATATAAGAAAAAATCCACTCATTGGTATGTCGCTACAATCTTGCACTTTCGTATGTTTTTAGTAGATAATTTACTGATGAAAAGAGTTATACTTAAGTTGCTCTTGATTGCTACTCTGAATGGGAGTGAACCTAGATAATAAATTTGCTTCCACTAAATGTGTTATTTTCTTCTTGTGGAACTTCTGAATTCTTGGAAATAGTATTTCATTCATTTGTTGATTTAACAAGTAATTTTTGAATACTTTTATCTGCTCGATACTGGTTTAGGCACTAAACATATAGCAGTAAAAAGCCTAGCTCTCATAGAGCTTACATTCTAGTGGGGGAGTGATATCAGAGCTCAGATTGGTAATGTAATTTATATGGTAGGAAGTGCAAAAATACCTTAAGGTAAGAAAATAGATGGGGGCAGGTGGGGCTATATTAGATAGGTTCGTTAGGGGACAGCTTCACTAAAAAGTGACATTTGAGCAGAGACCTGATTAAGAGAGGAACAAGCCATGGTAGATGCAGATAAGTACATTCCAGGATGAGGAAGCGATGAATATGTAGATACATAGGTGGCAGGGTGAATGGAGTATTTACAGAAAAGCAAGAAGGCCAAAGTGGTTGGAGCACTGAGTGTGAGGAAGAGCCTGGTATCCTATGAAGTCAGACAACTAGCCAGGGGCCCGATCTTGTAAGGTTTGAAAGTCACAGTAAGGACTTAGAGAATTCTAAATGAGATGAAAACCATGGGAGGATTTTGAGCTGGTAAGGGTTATTTTCCAAGTAGTAATTCAGACGACTTGGTGTGGAAAATAGACTTGTAGGCGCCTATAAGAGAGAGGGAGACCAGTTGGGAAACTCACACTGATCCAAGTTAGAGATGGCTGTGGCTTCGCTTAGGGTGGAAGGTTGGAGGTGGTAAAAAGTGGTTGAAGCAAGGTGCAGCTAACAAGACTTTTGGGATATAAAGGAAATAGTAATTTTTTTAAAAGTCTTAGATGATTTTGCATACAACTGGGTGGTACCATTTGTAGAGAAAAGGAGGCTGTGGAGAAGAGCAGCTTTGGGGAAGCATCATGACTTTGATTTGGGTATATTAGGTGCCTTTTAGGCATCTAAGTATCTAAGTATCCGGACGGGTGTCTAGGCTTTTGATTTCCTATGTAGAGGTATCTAAAGCTGCTTTAGTTCCAAAGCATTTAGATTTGATCTTTGCTGCTGCCAAAATAGTAGCTACTAGGCACAATATGTGTGTTGGCATACTTTATTTTGTTTTTGAGGAAGAAGTTCGAATACTGAAAGGAGGAAAAGTTATATAATTACGTTATATGGAATTTATATTTAATTTCATGGGAAAAGCAATAATTAGTTGGCTTTTGTTTTTAAATGGGAATAGCCACTCATTGTGAAACAATTACTGTAATTTCAATTTTATTTTACTTTAGATCATTCTATGATGAAAGCAGTTATCAAAAAAGTTCTCCAGAATGGAAGGAGTGCTAGATCAGAGGTATATCATGTTTTATTCCTCCAGAAAGAATTTATCTTTTATTGTTGTTTTTCTTCTGGGATCTCACTACTGTCTTGCCCAGCCTGGCCTCGAACTCTTGAGCTCAAGCAATGTCACCCCTTCCCAGCCTCCTGGGTAGCTAAGATTATTGGTATATACCACTGTGCCCAGTTTTTTGTCTGTTTTTAATAAAATGAAACTATTAAGGCACTTTTCTGCCATCTTAAATTTTCAGTCAAATCAAATGTCTTTTCTATTTTTGTAAATACCCTATGATTCTTTAATTTAGAGTCCCAGAATTGCTGATTGCAAACCTTTTATTAACTTAGAATATCTTAACAATTTCCATTTATGATCAAGCGCTCATGAATGACCTATAACTGAAATGGAGTATTTATTCTCTTCTAGTACCAGTGGATAACTTCTCCATCGGTGAAGGAACCATCCAAAACTGCGAAACAGAAAAAGAGAACTATAATTCTAGGAAGTGGTCACAAAGGAAAAGCTACTATTAGAATTGGTAACCTTTTCTGTCTTGGCTTTTTAATGCTACTAATGCTCTAGTGTGTTAAAATCTCTTCTCATCGTGTCCTATTGACAGTAACAACCAATATTGACTCCATGCATATTATGAGGGCTACAATTGTTCTGATAAGATTATGAGAATTTATGGAATGTAGAAATAGTAAATGAATCATTAGGAAAGTGATGCTAGTACTTCATTTTTTAAAATTACCCTTCTTTGTTTTTCATACAATATTCATCATTTTGGGTACGTTTTCTGATTGATGATTACTTTTGATACTTTGTAATTGAAATTTGGGATGCACTTTGATGACAGTGTAGCAGTGCTTTTGTATGATTTTTGTTGTTGTTGTTATAAATGAAGAATTACTCTTTCATACTATAGAAACAAAATTTTTCCCAGCTCCATTTTTTTCCCCCTTATTTCCTCCTCCTTCCTTGCAAACTCTTACCCAAAGTTGTTGAATCAGGTAATACCTTGCTTCTTTCAATGATGAAAAACCTTAAAATGTATGTAATCCTTATAAAACAATACTGCAGGTAAATTTATTACCCAGAGATAGAACATTTTAGACAAACATTCTCTAATTGTTTGAGATTTATTGTTTATTTAATCTGCCAAATAATATTTAGTCTAGAATTTTGAAATTATCTATAATTTTGTGACCAAGTGTAATGAAAAAAATCTTTATAAAACTTTAAAAAAAAAAGATTTTTAAAAAAATCTTTAAAAAACAGCTAATGGCATAAATTTCACATTCTCCTGAATATATAAATTTGGCATAATCTAGTTCTGATATTTTTGTATTGTTTTTAAAGAGTCTTTAAGTTTTGTTTTCTAGAACACATTATCTTTAGTCGTAAGTAGCCTTTTTTTAATGATAAGAATGAATGACAGTGGAATTAAGTTAAGCCAAATCTAATATGAAAGTGACCTTTTCTGGTTAGTAACTTTGAATTTTGGAAGAGTAAAACCAGGAATGCTAATACAGAGGAAACAAAATAAATTTTACATGTTTATAATCACAGAAAAAGGTTTGTGGTGACTTTAGTTACATACCCTGTACATTAAGATCACCGAACAATTAACACCAGGATAATCTTTTATTTAGATGTTACTTGAAATTTTTTAAAGATATAATTTGACTTAATATCACTGAACTGTATGCTTAAAAATGGCTAAGATATAAAAAATATGACATAAAATATAAAACATATAAGAAATGTAATTTTAGTAGCTAGTAGTACATAATAGGAAATCATTGAGAATAAAAAACAAAATCTTTTTTCTTAGCATGATTAAAGAAATTGGAAATATGAAGTTTGCAAGCTCACTGAGGCATTTTAAGAGTAACTTTATTGCTTTTTTTGTATTTGCCTCAGTTATTTGGAGACATAGAGGTAAGCCAAATCAGTGTCTGGCTGTATATTTAATAGGTATCAGTGAGTATAGGGTTTATATAATTTATATAAATTATGTCACATTCATATTTCAGTTATTTGTGCAGATAGGAACTTTCACTATAATTTTTTCAACATCTCCTAATAAGATAAGTAAATTAGTTTGGTTTTAATTACAGTTTATATTTGCAGTTGGGTGCCGTGGCTCACATCTGTAATCCCAGCACTTTGGGAGGCCATGGCAGGCGTACTGCCTGAGCTCAGGAGTTTGAGACCAGCCTGGGTAACCCTTTCTCTACTAAAATACAGAAAATTAGCCAGCTGTGACAGCGTGCACCTGTGATCCCAGCTACTCAGGTGGCTGAGGCAGGAGAATTGCTTGAACCTGGAAGGCAGGGGTTGCAGTGAGCCAAGATTGTACCATTGCACCCCAGCCTGGGCGACGAAGCAAGACTCCATCTCCAAGAAAAACAAACAAACAAATACTTTCTACACATACAAACAATGCACAGGAACATTTTTTGAGGATAATTATATTAAAAACAGCACACGATGAACAGAGCTCCTGTATATTTTAAGAGGTATATAAATTTGTCTAGAGAAATTCCATAGCACCATGTGGTGATGATTATCAATAAGTTACACTGGGAAATATTTGTCCTGTATTACCACATACACGTTCTTGTAGATGCTGTTCTAATGCTGCTAAAGTAGATCTTACATAGTAAAATAGATTGGAAGGATAAATATAACTTTTAATAAGCCTGTATTCTTTGTTCTCAGTGATATCAGAAGCAATTCTATATTTAAATGTGAATTTTAATACATTATTTGTTTTAAATAAAATATTAATAGGTAGGTCTAGCTTTTGCTACCAAGTATTTTGTACTAAGATACTTACTGAAATGTAGGATAAGACTTTATATTTCATTCTTTTATCGTTTAAACAAATGATAAAAGATGAGTACTGAAGGTCGACAGACTTATAGGCAGGCAACATTGACTCACCACCCAGCTACCTTCAGTCTTACAACTTTGATAATTTTTTACATGATAAAATTAATCTTAGATTGAAATTTGGGGCCAATTCAGAAGGTTGTTTGGTAGGAGTCATGACTGTATCTATGTTCTGTCCTTGAGATTCAGGAATGCCAAAAATGTTCTGAGATTTAATAACTTAATATTTCTGCATGATGCATAATGAAATGTGTCACATATAATTTTTCATTCTTTGGGTTACATGCTTTCTTTACTTTTTCGTGCTCTGCATGTCTCATATATTCAGCTTTTATTTTAGTTTAAGTGATAACTTGTTACTATAGACATCTTATATTTTTAAAACATTACTGGCCCATGTAAAAAGATATTTACAAATTGATCCTGTTTTAATGGCCTTGGTGTCATTGTCAAGCGCACATTTGTATTCTTTTAAGAGTATGCACATGTGCTAATTAATCTGTAGACCTTTAGTGCATCTTGATTCTTTTCTCAAGTAGGATTGGCTACAAAGAAACCTGTAAGTAGTGGCAGAAAACACTCCCTTGGTAAAGAATATTACGCGCCCGCACCTCTACCACCTGGTGTGTCTGGTTTCTTGCCATGGCGTACTGCAGCACGTGCAAAAAGGAAGAGGTAGGGTATTTTTATTTCCTATCTTTTAGGATAAAAATGGGATTCAGAATTACTTATTTTGTCACTTCTATTATGTGAGAGTTCTCCACTTGTATCTGTAGGGTAAAAATGACTCATATATGGCTTCTGCCTCATGAATCCTTTAAGGAAGTAAACCAAAAAATGATTCTAATTAGAGTTTCAAGTGATTTAGTGTCACAAGAAGCTGTATCCCTGTGGGAGTCCAGAGGAAACTCTATAGTTGTGCGGGTGAGAAAAGGTTTCATTTAAAGCACATACAGTTAAACCGAGCCCTATAGGACAGAAATAGGAATTTGGATATTTAAGAATGTGGGCATTGTAAAGCACAGGAAAGAGTTCAATGCAAAATGGACGGGAAGTGTTGATTACACTTAATCTAACTCAGCTAACTGGCCTAACTCATTTTAGTGAATCAAACCAGATATAACTAGTTTTAGCCAGTTACCTAGGAGATAGTTATTCATAGTAATTTTTATCAAAAAAGTTTTAAAAAATTATTGTACTATAATTTTAGGCTTAATAAATGAATTAGGATTACTATAAATTATTTTTAAATGACTGACTTTTAGTATTCAAGAAATTGGGGATTAATGATTGCTTAAGAAAACAAAGAGGATTGATTTTACCTAGTACTAGAAATAGGTACTATGTAAAATATCTGTTCAATTGCTTGGATTAAATTGAATATGTATAATTTTTATTAGGCAACTGATGACTACTTATTTCACAACTGGTAATGTGAATTATTATTGCATTAACTGTAATGCTGAGGCCCCAGTCTTTACACCTCCATTTATGTGGTTTTATATCTTCTTGAAATACTTATTAATTTCAAGTCCCATCTTGGTCACAAGGAGTTATAAATTAGAGAACAATTAACATCACCAGATAAAGAAGTTAGATTGGAAATCTGAACCATCCTAAACATAAGAACTAAATGCATCTTCAGAGACTTATCCCAAATCCATTCTGCTAAATTGTTCAATTTTTTCCGTAGCAGAGCTTTGCAGGCCCTTATTTTGAGGTTATTTATTTCTATATAGTTACGTATGGATAGTGTACATAATACTAGCAAGTGTTATTACCTAGTATTAGCTGGTGGTGTATTTACATCAAAATATAACTTAATTTATCGATATCTCTTTAGGGGTTTCCCATTAATCAAAGCACGTGACATATATAATCAGTTGCAGGTACGTAGTTACCATATTTATAATATGTAGGGGGTTGGAATGGGAAGGGTGGAAGATCATTCTCTGTGCTCTTTATATTGAATAGAGTCTTACAAAAACATTGCCCTCCCTGAAGTAAATTCATTTAAAATTTTCTGGGATTTCCCAGTGCCACAGTATAGTCATGTGGATATGTCACACAATGAAGGCCTTGTGGTTTCATCTGTAGACAAGGAAGTCATTTCTCTGGGTCCACAAATCAGCTGTTGCCCCCAGTGAAACAAATTTGACCACTGTTTCTCACCCAACACATGGAGCTATCATTGTCAAGAATGTCCTTAAGTTTAAAAGAAATGTTTTTGGGGGGATACATATTATATATGTTTAAATTCTGGACTCTAAAGCCTGAAGCAACCAGTCCTAAAACCTCTGCTTTCTTGGAGCTTTTCTTCCTCCCTCGTCAGGATCAAACACATGTCATTCTGCATCATGGTGTTAGAGCAAGCCAATTCTATTAGAGTATCAGGTTCTCCTTTTCAGTTGTTTTTAGAGACTGTCATTTCTCCGTAAAAGAAAGCATTACTGAGATGAAGAAGCACCTGTGTGTCCATACTGCCTCTTGCATAGCCAAAAGTAGGGGCATGCATCTCATTCTACCATTTAGAATTTTCAGGTGCTTCAGGATTTATTGCTTGCAGTAGATACTGCATTCTTGTGACTTCTGTTCTATATAGTTTTGTATCCCAGCACTCTTCTTTTTGATCTGTAGACTTTTTTTTTTTTTGTACTTTGGGCTCTGGGGTACATGTGTACTTCCTGCATCTTGCAGGATTATTGCATAGGTGCATACATGCTATGGTGGTTTTCAGAAGTGGGCGAAGGATATGAACAGACACTTTTCAAAAGAATACATATATAGGCCGCCAAGAAACATATGAAAAAATACTTGTTGGTCATTAGAGAAATGCAAATCAAAACCACATTGAGATACCGTCTCACGCCAGTTAGAATGGTGATCATTAAAAAATCTGGAGACAACAGATGCTGGAGAGGATGTGGAGAAAAAGGAACATTTTACACTGTTGATAGGAGTGTAAATTAGTTCAACCATTATGGAAGACAGTGTGGCGATTCCTCAAGGATCTAGAAATAGAAATTCCATTTGATCTGTGGACTTTTTAGGGGATTGTGATGCAGTCAATTTTGAAATATTTGGAAACATCATATTGAACAACATTCTAGTAACATTGAAATTTGACAGAATTGCATTGTTATTTCACTAGTTTTGGCTTAAGAATGAGGAAAAGCTGAGGTTTTTGATGTGTAGTTTTAGTTGTGTGTATGTATTTGGTTAATTTTTTTTTTTAATTCTTGTTTTCATTTTGTAGAGACAGGGTCTTGCTATGCTTTCCAGACTGGTCTCAAACTCCTGACCTCAAGCATCCTCCTGCCTTGGCCTCCCATAGTGCTGGGATTACAGTCTATTCTAGTGTTTATTATTCACAGTTTAAATTATTCTTCCAATTCTTTATGAAGCCTCCACTGATGGATTTTTCTCCTAATAATTATACTTTCTTTAAGACTGTGTGTAGTGGTAGAGAAAAAATTTCTCATCTGCACTATAAAGTTGATCTGAGAAAAAAATGTTTATACTGCCTCCTTGCTGGGTTTATGTGAGAAGAATGTAATAAAATAATAGGGGTTCTTTTTGGAAAGATTTTATGAAAAAAGAAAATAATATGGGCAATTCCAATATTAATCATAAACCTTGTATAAGAGAATTCTGTCAGTGACATGGCAAGAATAGGTGTCTTTTTACTTTGTTATTGATTGTGTTAGGCTAAGGTGTAGTGATAGACATGTATAGCTTAACACTTCAGAAAGATCACTTTGATTAGATGTTCTTTATATTTGGTATTTGGTTTATATTATTATGCAATCTTGTCCTCTTTCTTTAAGCAACCAGGTTTTCCTGTGACTGTGACAGTAGAGAGTCCTTCATCCTCTGAAACTGAAGAAGTTGATGATTCCTCAGAGAGTGTTCATGAAATGCCTGAGAAAACTAGCATAAAACAAGAAGCATTACAGGTACAAAGCTGTCACTTTAAAGATATGGAGAAGTTTATTTCAAACTGCAGTTAGTTTTGGTGAAAGCTTGATTGTGCACTGGACAGCTTGCATGGGATTTTCCCTTGCTTCTTTCTCATATCCCTTGAATGGTTCTTTATCATACAACAAGGTAAAAGGGAGGACGTCTGAACTCTAAGAAATAAAAATTGGAACATGTCATCAGTAATATATTTTTTTCCTTAGAATCATAGAATATTAGATTTAGGGAAGACCTTAATGATCATAAGATAAACTCAAAGAAATTAAGCACTGAATGAATGTACCCAGCTGATTCAGGACCCTTTGGGAGGTCTTATCTTTTTTGTGTATGCTAGGAAGTCCACAATTTATCAAAATAAATACAATTTTCTTTTAGTATGAAACTTACAAATATAGAAGGAATTATCCCTTTTCTATATACTTGTATTTAGCTTATAAACAACAGGAATTTATGTCTCACAGTTCTGGAGGCAGGGGAGTCTAAGATCAGGCAGATTTGGTGTCTGGTGAGGGCCTGCTTTGTGGTTCACAGATGGCTTCTCACCATGTCCTCACATGGTAGAAGGGCAGTTATCTTATTTTTATGTGACGATGGAAGTCACTTTTTGATTTTCAAAAAATGAAGACTGATTTTTATTTCTAAAATTAAAGTTAATGATAAGTAATTAGAGATTTTTTTAAGATAACTAATTACAAAAATAATAGAATATTGGAAAAATCTATAATCTAGAATTGTTCCTTTTATAAATGAGCACCTACAGTGTGTAGCACCTAAGTGGTTTATTACCAAGTTCCAGAGGAAAAACAAAATCCTAGAATGTCTAAGTCATGTTCATTATTGTTTTAAATGTGTTATATTTATTTTCTTCACCAGAGGATTAGGAAATTGTATTCTAAAAGTGATTGTAGCCATTGGGAAAGACCAAGAAGGTTAGGAAATATAACTTGGGAAGTTCTGATTCAAGATGCACTGAGAATTCTCTCAGCTCTTTTCTATTTTAAGAACCCCATGAAATGATGTTATCAAAATTTCTGAAATACGTAAGCCTACAGTAGTCAAGAGAATTGAAGAAATTTCAACGTAATTTTGAAATACAAAAGACAAATGGAAATGAGTATGAAACCGAAGCAGTAGAACAAAGGAAAACAGTCACCTAAAATATGCTTAGGGAAGCCTACAGCTCAGAGGGAATCTAATCCCCACTGCAGAAATAGCTCCATACTCAGATATGCATATAGGAGGAAGGAAAAGAACTAGAAATGTGACTAACATAGAGGGAGCTCCTTGACAGTTTGTATATGGAAGAGTTGACTCCCAGCCTTACCTTCACTCTCCTAAAATGAGATCATTTGATTTTGAAAACCAGCAAAGTAACTGGGGAGAACGAGGGTAGATAGTGTGGATTTTGCACCCTAGAAAATGGTAGCTGAGGATATCCTGCCCTACTGGCTACCCACTTCTTCATACATAACAGAAGCTAGTCATCAGCTCCCAATGATCTTCTGCTCCCTTACTCTTAAATAGAAAACAACCTTGGTTCACCTGATAGTTTGAGTAAAACTCACAACATGACAAGGAAAATAAAAGATGAAAGATATGTCCTGGTAGGACCAGAGCTAATTAAGAGGACAAAAATACTTTAAGAAAAAACCCTACTAAACATCTTTAGGTTTGTTAAGCACAAGATCAAAAGGTACAGTACTGTAAAACAGAATAGGGTGTTTTTTAAAAAGGAATAGCAGAAAGCAAGGGTAGTCTCTTGGAAATTATAATGGTTGAAATAAATTCATTAGGAATTAAGGAAATTTCTCATTAGCTAGAACAGAAAGGCAAGATTAGAAAATATTTGACAAAAATGATATGGTAGCGAGGTTGCATCTAGGAGGTCTAACGTTACTGTAAGAAAACTCAGAAGATAGAAAAAAATGGATGGAAGGAAATTACAAAACAAAAAAATCAAGAAAATTTGCCTTAGATAGATGCATATAAGTGGAGTCTTTATTGTGATATTTCAAGATACTGAGAAAAGAAAGAAATTCCTGAGAGAAAAATACCAGTCGCCTAAAAAACAATAAAAACCAGACTTTATCATACTTCTTATCAGCTATCATGGATCCTGGAATTAGAAAGATACCTCCAATGTTTTAAAGGCAAATAATTGTAATAATTGTCAGCCTGGGGTTCCCTCTCCAGCCAAACTGTCAATCGTAAGTTGGGGCTGAATAGAATTTTTTTGACCTGTTCTGTACCTTTTCTTGTTATTTGAAAACGTAGTCCAGCAAAATTAGGGAATAAACCAAGAAGGAAGATAATAGGATATCAGGGATCAGTGGTTTCAATGCAGAGAGCACTGAGTCTGGATTTGAGAGGCTTCCATTGGTTGTGTGACTGCGAACTTAAAAAAACCTTGAAGCATATTACTATGTATTAGGCAGTGTTAGAAAGGAGGAGGAAAGAGAAGAAAAGAGGGAGGGAGAGAATCAAACTCCAGAGGAGGAGAAAGCTTTGTTGGCACAAACATAAAGCAAATTAAACTACTGAAGCAGGAGCAGTGAGAAACAAACCTCTTGAACACCGAACTGAGGAAGGAAGTGGCTTTTTGTTGGCTGGGAACTGGGGGGGCTACAGCTTCATTCACTGAGCTCCCTGAGAAGCAGCAGCTTTCCCTTTTTAAGGGCTCACAACTCTAAAGGGGGAGCAGAGGTGAAACTGTGTCATTGCCCATCAGCCAGGCAGCTGACCTCACAGTCTTTGGCTTTCATAGATTTGCTAATTTATATTTGGCACACACGAGAGGGAAAGAAGGGGAAGGGTTACAGGAGCTGAACAAAGACAGAAAATTACTTGGTGGCAGATGCAACTTAAGGGCAGGGGGTTTGGATTGTGCAAACAAGGAGGACGTGACCCAGTTCTGGGCTCTGGCCGGTAACAATAACGTTCTTTGCAACACTTTCAAGGCTTATAGATAGCTTAGATGTTGGGAATCGAAAAGGGAGTTATATTCCCAGTCCTTAGGCCTTATTATGGTCTGGTCAGTGATGTCAGCAAGCTGCTTGACCACAGATTCCAATTCTTTGATTTTTTTTTTTTTTTTTGAGACGGAGTTTCGCTCTCGTTACCCAGGCTGGAGTGCAATGGCGCGATCTCGGCTCACCACAACCTCCGCCTCCTGGGTGTTCAGGTAATTCGGCTGTCTCAGACTCCTGAGTAGCTGGGATTACAGGCACGCGCCACCATGCCCAGCTAATTTTTTGTATTTTAGTAGAGACTGGGTTTCACCATGTTGACCAGGATGGTTTCGATCTCTTGACCTTGTGATCCACCCGCCTCGGCCTCCCAATTCTTTGATATTTATTTCTTTTTACCCTCCTTATTCAGAGGAAGAAGGTGGAGGTCTGTGAGGAGAGAGATGAGGTGGGGGTCTCCCCTCTCACGACAGATTTTTTAGCTACCACTGATGTACAGAAGGGAAAAATCCACTTGAACTTGTCCACCCTTTTCAGTGGCACAGCAGTAGGTGACCACCTATCTAATTTATTGTACAAACCAGAACACTTTAATAGTGTGAGCAGGTGCTGTTAGCACTAACATCAAGACAAGGGTTGTAAACTGGAACAGTCCAGGGCAACTTAAGATATGTGGTTACTCTGTACAAGGGCTATGGTACTGAAACTGTTTAGAAAGCTGTGTAATCTGTTTGTATATGGAGAGACAATATAACTCTGCAGTAGGCAGTATTAATTTAATCATATTAATGGAAATACTGCCGTGGTCTGCAGCTTTGATTATCAATTTGCATATAATAGCAATAATAATAACTTGTATCAAATGTAGCACATATTTAACACTGTTCTAAGTGTTTTGCTTATATTAATTTATTTGATCCTCAGAATAACCCGTTATAGGTGTTATTACTAGTCCTACTTTTCAGAAAAGAAGCTAAGACAAAGAAGGAACTTGACCGAGCTGTACTTAAATTTAGAGTTGGATCAGGGGTTTGAGCTTAAGCTTTCTGCCTGTTCTCTTAAACACTGATTTGTCTGTCCCTCAAAAAGTAGACAATTCTGCATATAGAACAGAATGTAAGTATTATTAACTTGAACAGTGTAAAAGCTAAATTTGGAAGGTGGACACAGGTGGAAAGAAGGGACAAAAGTATGTCCTTATTTTACAAAGCAGGGCATTGAGAGAGTTGAGATTTTTAAGTAATGTATATCACTAGAAGTTGATGAGATCGTGACCATTGGAAAAACTAACGGTGATACAACTTCATTGAGATTAGTGGCCATAAGTAAATAAATAAGTAAGAATGAACTGAACTCTTATTTAGTAAAGCAAGGAGTTAGTAAATGTCTAAAATTCAGTCATGTAATACTTAAACGTTATTTAGAAATAGGAAGAATTAAAAAGAATGGTTGATTTAAACCTCACAAAGAAAAGAAATCCAAGTAGCCCATAAATATGGAGAAGTTTTCAACCATATAGATAATAAGAGAAAAATGAACTGTAATCAGTATGAGATGTACACTCTTACCACATTGGCAAAAAATAAAATTTTATAGTGGAAGGTTATTGTAGACCTGGAGTGTAATAAGAATCTTTCACTCTACTTGTACCAGAAGTATAAGTCAGTAAACTTACTTTAGAAGGCATTTAGCATTGCCTATCAATTGAAAGTTTGTAAATATCTTATGACTCAAAAAGCCATGTGAGGGTACATGCACCAGAAAAACAGGTACAATGGGGTCCACGTGCATTATTTGTAAAAGCCCAACCTGAAAACAACCCAAATGTCCATTAATATTTAAAAATTAGATTGTACAGTGAGAAAACTATAGAAGTAATAAAATTGAATGAACAAGAGATACAGGCAACAGCAGATGAGTTTTAAGAACAATGTTGAAAGAAAAATAAGATATAGAAGTCTGCATTCACTATGATTGCCTTTACATAAAGTTAGAAGGAGGCAAAACTAGATTGTTAGGGATGTGTGCATATAAAGGAGATAATTATTAGGAAAATGAGGATGGGGTTTACTTCTGGGAGGAGAGGAGCTTGTGATGAGTAGAAGATATGGGGGATTTCAGAGATGCTGGCTGGTTGTACTTTCAAACTTGGGTATATGGTTACATGAGTGTTCCTGGATAGTGTGTTCTGTGCACTTTTCAATATGTGAAGCATATTTTGCAATTAAAAACCTGCTTAAAGAAATGCCTCTGGGAAGCTGGATATGTGAGTGAGGAGGAGATGATTAATTTTCATTTTAAGCTCTTCTCTACTAATTCCATTTGTATGTTTATTCATTTTGCATTGACTGAACATATTCTGTATGCCAAGCACTCTTCTCAGTTTTATATGTGTGTTACTTTACTCCTTTCAAGGGCCCTATGATAAATGAATTTATCTCCATTTTATAGAAGAGGAAATTAAGGCCTAGGGTTACTAACTTACCAAGGTTATACAGCTGATAGGAAGGTCCAGAACTGCCTCAGAGAGTCTGAATTTCCAAAAAAATAACCTAAAAGAGAAATGTACATTACTAATTAGTAAGCAAAGAAATGCACATTTAAAGAAGACAGTAAGCTTTTATCTATTAGAGGAAAACACATATTCGGTTTCACACACACACACATAAATCTTATATTGGCAGGGATTTTCTTTATTCTGCAATTATTTATTGGTTGTCTGTTTTGTGGTTGGCACAGATGCTGGGGATAAACACTGATTAAAATATACTCCCTTCTCTCAAATATCTTGCACTTATTTAAATGGGAAGATAAGCCAACAATTAGAGTAGAGATGATATATCCAAGTGATAGACTCTTTGATTGCCCATAGCGGTATAAAATCTTAGAAATCTTTTGGAAAGCAATTTGGATGTAGGTATCACAGAGCCTTAAAAATGTTTATTTGCCTAGACCTAAAATTGGTTTTTTATTAATTTATTACAGGAAAGTTATTCTAAATATGGGAGAACAAAGCCTTCATACTTAAAAATGGTTTTTTTATCTTAATGTTGAAAAGTTGGAAACAGTCTGGTTAGCCATAAAGGAATGATTACATGAATCAATAAGCGGGCTCAGTGGAATATTTTGTAGCCCACTACAAAAGTCAAAGTTATGAGCTCTCTTATCAGATGAGAAATAATTGATTCAATGTTAAGTGGAAGAATGTCTAGCATAAAATTTGATATAAAGTCACCCCTCAGTATACTCAGTTTATTCCATGACCCCATTCTCCAGCATATACCCAAATCCATGCACACATGCTCAGATCGCACAGTTGGCCTATAGAACCAGCATGCATAAAAAGCCAGTCCTTTTTATGAGGTTCTACATCAGAAAACACTATTTTTTATTTGCATTTGGTTGAAAAAAATCTGCATATAATGGGTCTGTACACTTCAAGCTTCTGATGTTTAAGTGTACAGGATAAAATTTGATATTTCTGGGGCTGCGCTCCAGAAAAAAATCAACTTGTCCAAGTACAGAAGGGAAGAAGGGAGCAGCTGTCAGGAGGGAAAGTTACTACAAAACTTTGCTGTTAGTCGTTTTTAAGTAGTGGAATGTTAAGTGATTTTACTTTCTAATTGTTTTGTTTCATATTTCCTTATTTTCTTTAAGGAGTGTGAATTACTCTTTAAAGGAGTAATGAGGAGAGCACTTTCATAAAAATGTAACATTATGTTCTCACTTCCTCCACTAGAGGGAGAAAAAATTTCATGTAATTGTGCTTTGGTGTGATTTTTTAGAACCAGTTAGGAATGGAGGATTTTAGTCTTTCTCCAATTGTGATAAGTTTTTTGCTTGTTTGCATGTTTGCTTAGAACTTCTTTGATAACTTTCTAAATATTAAAACCAGTATGTAAATAGTAAGTAGAGGAATTTTGCAATTTCTTTTTCCTTTTTCCCATAAAAGCTTGGTTGGCTTTAACTGATAATGAAACATGAAAGAATTTGTAGTTATTAGGGAATTTACTGATTTTTCAAACATGTGTTCTGAGTATGAAAATATACGCCCTTTGAGAAAATGTTTGAAAATTGTGAAAAACATTGAGGGAAATAAAAACCACCTCTGCATGATACACACACCTGGATATTTTGTAATTTGCCCTTTTATCTTAAAAAGGTATCAGAATATTTTGTCACATCATTGAATGCTCTTCCGTATCAGAGAATCTTACTTAGCTTATGGACCATCTTCTAAAAAAGTGGCCATTCACTAACTCTGGTTAAGACCCATATCATTGTTTTTAGTGGCTTCATAGAGCATTTCATCATATGGATGTCCTATTTTTTTTAACCAATCACAATTTGGAGGCTTTTGGCTTCTAGGGATTCGTTATAAATAGTCCTGTGACATTATGTTGGTAGACAAATCTTTGTCCACATGTTTAATGATTTCCTTAGGGTAAATTCCCAGACACAGAATTGGTAGTATTTACTAAAGATTACTCCAGAAAGCGGTACCAGTTTCCTTTACTAATGTAAGTATATAGGAGAGTTCCTTCCCTCAACAGTCTGGAGGGAATTGGAGAATCTCCCTCATGTCTAATTCCTTTTATACTTCAGTCTTTATCAAAAAGAGCCCTGTCCCTTTTAATTGGTTACTTGATTTTTAATTTGCTGTTACATAATTCAGGTGTGTTCAATGTGTTAATAGGGCTTTCTATTATAAGGGATCCACAAATGAGAATAGAATTTATTTTTCATCGCCTTAATTTTTATTTCTGACTCAATAAATATATGCATGCCTTCTATAGTGAGCTGTCACAAATTTATTTTGGAAAGAGTGGGATTTAAATAAATCTGTAATGTGAGAATTTGATATGTTTTTGGTAATTAATTTCCCTAGTATGGTATGATATTATACAAGCAGTAGGCTATAATCCTGATATCTGAATTCACTTCTGCCTCTGTCCCTAAACACTTGGTGAGATCAACAGCTTGAAGAGTTTTGGGGATCATATTCGGAATTAATTATAATATTTACTTTATTACTTCACTAGGAAAAACTGGAGGAGTGCTTAAAGCAGTTAAAGGAGGAAAGAGTGATAAGGCTTAAGGCTGATAAACGAGTCAGTGAGGTAAATTAAATTTTCTTACCTTTTGAGAGCTTTTTGTTTTGGTTTTGGTTTAACTTTAAGCCATACATACACACACTTTATGAACTTTAAAATGAGAAAATATAGTATATTGCAAATTGGTCACACTATGTTAATGTTTCTTTTTACTTATATTTGATGATCGTATGATCTATCTTCCAAAAAGCATGTTTTTAAAAATGTCAAAATTGGAGTTTGTTGTCTTTTCCTGTGCTTTTATGTGACTGGAACTTATTTTCTGTTCATGATGCTTCAATTCAAGAATGCATATATTAGGCTTATACTGTATATACAATTATGTAAAAGATGAGGTTGAGACTACCTACGGAGGGTAAATTAGGAAAATGAATAAATAAGATGAAAGATAATGGAAAACTGGTAAGAATACAGTGAAATAAAAATCTGTACCATGAGGACTAAATTAGGTGAATGTGCATAAGAGCAGGGGATAAGCTAGAAAGTTCTATATAACTATAATTTATTATTACAAAGTAAGTTTAAGGAGGAATTTTTGGAAGTGTTGCATTGGATTGGAAGACACGTAATCATTCAGCAAAGGTTGAAGACCTGATGGCATAAGGCAAAAGGTAGATTGTGAACACATGGCCTTTCAGAGAAATACTAGAGTTAGATTTCTGTATAGTATTAAATAGATCATAAAGGTGGATGGTGTGCAGGAGAGTACATGTTTTCAAGAAGCAAAGGGGGAATATTGGTAATTGTGCAGTTAGTAAATTGGGTATGATTTGAGACTTTTAAATTTATATATTAAGTATCTTCGTGGCAAAAATTAGTCCTTAACAGCCAAATTGTAATATGCTTACTCTATATTTCATTGTCTAATTTAAAGGAAACCTTAAACAGCTATTTTTAAATATAGAATAATTCAGGTATGAATTTAACCTGTTAGAAATGTGATCTTTTGAAATATCATTAATTAAGTAATGTTTATGTTATTTATGTAGGAAGTTTTGTCAAGTGTCTCCAGGTTTTGATTGTTATGTAATATGGTCTGTCTTTACAGAGAGATCATATTACATAACAGAGAGAGTTAGATTAATTGCAAATTAATTACATTTTTTAAATGTTTTATTTTAGTTTCATAAAAACTATTTTGGCGATAATGAGAGAAAATCATGTCATACATTTTCAATCTTCTTTTACAGCTGGAACATGAAAATGCCCAGTTAAGAAATATAAATTTCTCTTTGTCTGAAGCCCTTCATGCACAATCATTGACAAATATGATCCTGGATGATGAAGGTGTTTTGGGCAGCATCGAGAATTCTTTTCAGAAGTTTCATGCTTTCTTGGATCTCCTTAAAGATGCTGGGTTAGTTAATTTCTCCCTGTGACATTCTTCCCTCCATGACTTCAGTGGTAGTTTGCTGAGGAAATTGAGCAATTTTTATAGCTTCCTTAAGTCATATTTACTGTGTAATTATAAGTAATACACTTGATTTTTTTAAATGTGGAATTAATTTTTAAAGAAATGCAAAATGACACACCTGCCTCAGTTGAGGGCCCAATATGAAAGAGTAAACCTATTTGGCTTGGTGGTCTGTACCTGTAATCCCAGCTACTTAGGAGACTGAGGCAGGAGGATCACTTGAATCCAGGAATTCAAGGCTAGCCTGAACAACATAGCAAGACCCCATCTCTTAACAAGAAAAAATGAGTAACCTCTAGATAGAGTAACTGGTAGGTGTAATTCTTGTTAAAGACTAAATTGAAGGTAGTTTTAATTGAAAACATTCAGGAATTTATAGGAATTTTTCTTTTATTCACTTTGCTTGTTAAGTAAGTTCGAATTAAAATTGTCTTAGACATTACAATTGTTATTAATCTACAGGGTAGATAGAGATATAGATCAGTGGTCCTCAATCAAGAATGATTTTGCTGAAAGAAGATACTAAAAGAGAGAGTTCCATATAGATAGTTGATGGAGTTATGATTTATAGGTAAACAGTTTGGTAAGGGAAGGAACAAACTTATTCTTGAGAACTGGAGGAAAGGTGGTAGTGTGGGGATGAAGGTGAGAGGCACTAGGTATGTGGTGGAAATTACAGCTTCTACTGAGACAGTATATAAAATAGGTTGGGAATAAGTAAGGGAAATGAAGTCAAGAGGTATCTACTACATTGCTGGGGGAAGAGACAGTGTTTAAAGGATTGGATGATCTGATATGGTTTGTCCCAAAGCACCAAATGTGGGAAGGTCTGAGAAATTGGGAGGGTTGGGGGTGTGGTCTGGAGTAGGACAATGGGTTTTAAGATTTTAGAAGTATTTCATGTTTGTAGATTCGGAGAAATGTAAGCTGTCCTTGTGTGATTCTAGTAATCCTTGCCTTTTACTCGGTTTCTTCTCTTGACCAGGCTTGGGCAGCTTGCCACAATGGCTGGGATAGATCAGTCAGATTTTCAATTACTAGGTCATCCCCAGATGAATTCTACTGTTAGTAATCCACCTAAAGAAGAAAAGAAGACACATGAAGAAGAAAAACCAGAACCAAAGCAGAATGCCCTAGGGCAAATGCAAAATATCCAGGTAGGTGAATAGAACAGAACTTAATGATTCTACAAGTGATTAGCAAAGAGGGAATTACTAAGTCAGAGAGAAAAGAATAAGTAATCTGTTCACATGCTTGGGGACCAGAAGCATCTTTGGGGTCCTTTCCAAGACAGATTAGTAAGTTTGTGCCCATTTCATCATATTATATTGTAAATAAGAAATAAGAAAGTTGTTTCGAAATTTTATGATTTAAAGCAGACTATCCTCAGTGGAGAAATGAAAGAGAAAATATTTTAAATTTTAAATTTTGTAAATGTCTATTCTATTCATATTTCATTTAGGTTTCTATTTGTATGCAGTCAGCTTACAATGAAGGAACACTAATGAAGGTACAAGTACTGATATAGATAATATTTCAAAATAAGTAATCCATATGTAACCAACAGGCAATATATTATAGGCATCATTTAGCTATGGGAATGGGATGGGAAAACCTGTCTGCCACAGGAATCCCCTGCTGCTTTTCCTCTGGCCTTACATGGAGCCCCCATCTCCCATCTCAGCCAGTCTCAGACTGGTCTTGGCAACTGATGACTTGAAAACTCAAGTCTACTTACAAACTGGATACTGCTTACATGTGTATGGAGGATAGGAAAGAAATTAATTTTCTTCTAGAATGAGGTTTTATTTTTTTTAATGAGGGAGAGAGAAATGAGTAATAATTACATAAAATACAAAAGTCTGAAAATGTGCTGGACCTACCGCTGGATATAGCTAAGTTGGCAATCACTTGGCAAGATATAATTAAGGGAAAAATGACCTGGAAATCTTCTAAGGTCACAGAATAACACTGACGTTTTAAACTCAACTTTTTAATGCATGGCTTTATTCGTCACTAAATTTTTGTTTTGTTTTTCCTTCTAGTTTCAGAAAATTACAGGTGATGCTAGAATTCCTTTGCCTCTTGACTCCTTCCCTGTTCCAGTTTCTACTCCAGAGGACTTAGTAACTTCCAAAGACAACCTGGGAGTCCCAGCCACTGAGCAGCAGCAGGAGTCTTTTGAAGGATTCATTGCTAGAATGTGTTCTCCTTTAGCAGATGCAACTTCTGGAACTGGAAATCAAAGAAAAGAAGAGGAGTTGTCCAGAAATAGCAGATCTTCTTCAGAGAAAAAGACTAAAACAGGTGAATATACCAAAATACACTCTGGTAAGAAACACCCTGGAAAGGACCTGCATTCCTACTCTGACTCTTCTGAAAACCGGAAAGGCAAAGGAATTGGGGAAACTGGTTCTTTGGTTAATGAACCAAGTAAAAGTGGGTCTTTGAAAAAATATGTTTCTGTCAAGAAAGAACGTAAAATAGTGACTGTATCATCCAAGACAAATAAAAGTAAACCCAGTCCACTAGAACATTCTGGAAGTGATACTCTTGGATCTGATTTTGAATTTCAAGAAAGCATCCATTCTCTATCACAGCTGATATATGACTAACTATTTGAAATTATGTTTTTGCCTTTAAATTTTAATAAATTTTCTTATGTTTTTATTATGGCATATGGTGTCTTAAAATATAGGATTGGAAGCCATTAAAGGAAGGTTTCTCTATACTTCTTATTTTAATGAAACTTTTAGTCTATTTTTCCCTTTAATAGTTTACAGCATTCATTCATCAAGTGTTTACTGAGGGCCTAGTATGTATAATACCATTCTGGGTGCTATGGCTTTCAGCAGTGAACAAAACAAAACCTTTACTCTCAAGGAGCTAATACTCTCTGGAGGGAGAAAACAGAAAACAACAAAGCACAGTACAATGACTAGAAAAGGATAGGAGTGAGTAAATGGAATAATTGTACTATTTGGTTGAATGTGGAAATAAATATATATCACATGGCCAGAAGCCATTGACATATTTGAATATATAACTAGAGCAGCAAACATATCTAGATGCTTACCCATGTTCATGGATTACAGCAACCCTATAAGATAGGGGACTATATTAATATTATATGCCCATTTTATAGATAAGGAGTCTGAGGAGACAGCCTCTGTGAATTTCTCAAAATTGTACAGCTGTAAATATGTGGTAGGGCTGGGATCTGAACCAGAACTCATGCTTTAATCAGCTATCCTGTTTCTCTGTTAAGAGAGGAACCACTTAAGGAAGATTCTGAGAAAAAAGCCAATGAACACCATAAGTAGATAAGAATGGGGCTATCAAGAAAGCACACCTGGGTTGAATTTTTTAAAGGCAGAGTTAGAGTATGAACATACATCTTTGGAGCAAGTATCCCTTCCTGGAATAACATGCATATAGATTAGACCTTTCCTACAACCAGACTGTGACTTGAGAGATGAGATGAGATGAGAGAGAAGCTGGAGTGTCAGATTCCTTCTGGATGGTCTTGCCTGATTGTTATCAAAAGGGCTACTACAATACTACTGAGTTCATTAATCATGGATTGACTGTTAGGGAATGAAACAATGAACAAGATGTAATCTTGACCCTTTAACAGTCTAGTGAAGGGGAGACACACAAGCAGATGTTGTAATATGATGGTGGGAAGGCTGAGGGAGTTTAGTCAGTGTTTGGGGAAGAAGGAGGAGAACCATGGGGCCAAGAAAGGTCAACTAAAGAGACCAAAGGTCATGTTAATTCCTAAGCTGAGTCTTAAAGAATGAGTTAGAGGCTCATGGATAAGGAGGTGAAGGGGAAGGATACTCAGGGCAGAGGGAATAGCATAAGCAGAAGTACAGAGCCATGAATGGGAGTTATGTGTGTTTGAGGAACCACAAACACAAGTAGTTGAGAGTTACCGAAACGTCATCAGGCACTGGCAGATGTCACTAAAGGAGGCAGCTAGGGGAATGAGATGGGCTCTTACAGTCCACATTGCATGGAACTGGTTCTTTTTTTTCAGTAAATAGTGAGCTAGTAAAGAATGGAAATTATGTGCTTAGGCTTGCATTTTAGATCATTAGCTTTAGGCTGATACATTAAAGAAGTATGGAGATCACATTCTTCTGAAGAGTGTTTGCCTTTGATTTTTAAACAGGACTTATCTTCCCACTTTCTCTCCTATGCTACTGAAATAAATTTTAGACTAAACATAAGGAGACCCTGCATAAATAGAATTAGGCAGGTTTCTTTACAGTAGTACTTCTCAGGGGTGCTAGAGGCTAGTGTTCATTCTGAGTCTTCAGGACAGGTATATATATGGTATGCAGACATTCTCAAATATACTTGATTATAGAATCCTTTTTTAATAGGAATGCCTAACTGGTGCCACGAAATGCCGATTTGGTAACTGATGACTTAGCAAGACAAGAAAGGGATCTAAAATAAGGTATAGATGAAGGGAGGGAATAAGTTTTAATCTAATTTAGGCAATTAAATAAGATTTGGTTATGGGAAGGAAAAAAGAGGCAGAGGGTGGATCTGTGTTTCCATGACTAAGGTTGGGTGGTGGTATCAGTGAGGCTGGGAATGTGGGAGAAAGAACTGCTTTGGAAAGAAGAGTTTAGTTTGGGACAGGCTGAATTTTACAGCACCTGTAGATTTCAGGAGGAAGTGACCGGTAGATGATTGGATGTGCATGTGAAGACATGAAAATAAAGAATTTGAAAGTCATCAGCACATATAAGCAGTAGTTAAAATCATAATGTTGATGAGAACACAGAATTGTGGAGACTGTCAAGGTTTAAGTGATAAGCAAAAAAGGATTCTGAGAAAGAGACAGTGAAAAGAGTGTCAGGAAGAAAGAAGTAGAATACAGAGAATAAGTGTCCTCAGGATTTTGGCAGTTTGGTCCCAGGTAACCTTAATGAGAGCAGTTCACTGAATTGGTTGATAAAAATGCCAGATTGCAGTAAATTGAGGGGCAGGAATGCCCTGAGGGGAGATTGAAGACTGGGTAGAGGCTACTCTTTGAAGGAGTTTGGATGATAAGAAGAAATGAAGTTAGCTGAGGAGGAATTTTTTAGAGTAAGAAGGACTTAAATGTTGGTAAGGTGAAAGGAAGGAACCAATTAAAGAAGGAGAGGCTCATTTATGCAGCAGGATTTCAGACAAGGAGGGAGCATGAGATACTTGTTCTTAAGACTGAAAGAAACAGATCTGAACAGATGGGAGTGTACATGTTTGATTTCTCAATGAACTTGAGATGGCTCCCATACATGTAGTGCAAAATGGTTAGATAAGTAACTTAGAGAATCTGGGAAAGAAATATAGATTAAAAAAATAAAATCAGGGATGGGGGTCATATTGTAAAAAATTTAAAAGTTATTGTAGAGTTAGGGGATCCTGGGAAGTGTGGACAGAGACAAAGATGGGAAGAGTTAGAAGTTAAATGAGCTTTTACCTGAGAGCCCCAGTTTTCTTTACGGATTTTTAAAAGACATACACACATATACATAATTATAGTTTTAAATTTCTTCCATATTTTACAAATATTTTATCAAACATTAAAACCATACCACTGGAATTATAAATGTGGATATTTTGCTGCTAAATATGTACAATTTTAGCCCTCTAAGTGATTGTTAAACTTTCAATATACCTGAAATAATATCATTTAATTTTGAAATACAGTATTTTCATTTGATTGAGAGAAAGATGCAAGCATGTATTATGCACTTTTACTTAGCAGAACATATACCATCTATGCAAACAGGGCTTTTTAAAGAAAATATCAGATGTGATAATAGCAAAGAGCTTGTCATCCTGCCTTAAATCCATACATAATTACTAGCGGTCAAAAATCACTCTTGCTTACCCATCCAGTTCTATGTCCAACAATGAGTTAGTCTAATTTCTAATGGGTTTTTACAGAATCTCTAATCTCAAGACAGTAACACTTGATTTTCAGAGGATCAGCAAGATAGGAGATGATTGGGTTTTTTTGGAAAATTCTGATTAAAAGCTACATGTTAGAACATTAACATGGATGACTGAACACATTCTTTTACTCTTCTAGAATCCCTTTGAAATGACTGGAGAAATATTAAAAATGATAGCAGAGTTGGAAAACCAGAAATTGAACAATGTGGAATTTCTGGAAGATTAAAAGCAGGTATTTGAAGTACCAGTTAATTAAAGGTAGAACAGCTAAGCCATTGCACTCATCTTTGGAGCATCTGATTCTGGAGTTTACCACCAGGCTAAGAAAGCAGCTGTCTAAAGTGGGAGCTCTGACCCAGGAAAGCTGGGATTGGAGAATAAGGAAATTATCCAAAATGGCTACAAGGAGGAACTGAAGTTAAGCTGCCCACATGATCTCTCTCTGACTACGGTGACCTGCCACTTCCGTTTATAATCACCGTGTAAGTGCCTGTAATCATTTGTGTTCATTGAAAGTGAACCAGAATTCCCATTTGGATGAAAAAACAACACTTCAAACTTTAATCTTAGGCCCTCATTTATAAATATGGGCAGCCAAGAATCATCAAATTTGAAGAAAACCAGTAACATTAAAGGCATAAAATTAAAACAACCTGTTCAAGAAGATAGTTACTAGAAGAAACATGAAAATTTTAAATGAATGAATCAAGATCTTTAGCAATTCATAAAGATACTGTGTCCTTAAAGACTAGGATGCTATGAAAAATAAATATTTAGAGTTTCTGGAAATTAAAAATATGATCACAAAACTGAAACAGTCAGAAGGTGGACTGCATTGCAGAATGGATTCAGTCGAAGCTTAAATTCATGAAATGGAAGATATTAATTGGAAGATGTTTCATCAGCAACTAAATTACTTAGAAATCTTTCTCAGAGTAACTAAACAAAACGAACAATGAATCCATTAGTGGTTTTTTTTTTTTTAGTCAAGGTTTCATGTTGCCCAGGTTGGGGTGTGGCAGTGGGATAACAACTCATTGTAACCACAATCATTGGGCTTAAATGATCCTCCCAGCTCAGCCTCCTAAGTAGCCAAAACACACCACCAGGCCTGGCTAGGTTTTAAAAATTATTGTAGAGATGGGTTCTTTGTTAGGCTAGATTTGAACTCCTGGTCTCAAGTGATTCTCCCACCTTGGCCTCCCAGAGTGCTGGGACTACAGACCTGAGCCACTGTGCCCGGCCCAGTGAAAGATGTTTAAATCAAATAAACTGATAAAGATATGAGGCAAACTACTTTGGCTTTGTGACCTGCAAATCCCCTTTATAATCACTAGAGTTGCCTGCAATCAGAAAGCGTCTAAATAAATACTAATGAACATATGAAAACAAAGTCCAGCTAAAATTCTAGGTTTTAACATGAATGGAGGCAGGGCAGGACAGAAAGTGAAAGCTTGTCCCAGATCTTGTCTTATTCAAGGGAAGGATATAGGTAGTGTTTGATTCTAGGTGTTGATTGAAAAAATATATTAAAATATATATAAAGTTAAGGGTATGTTAGTAAGGATAGGTTAGGTGATGATGCATTAACAGCTCCCAAATTTTAATTACTTTCAACAACATAGGTTTACTTGTGCCCATGCAATTTGCCTTTGGCAGATTGGCTAGAGGCCCCTATTGAATACCACTCTCAATCTGGGAGTGAGGCTGGTGGAATGTCACTATTTGGAACATTGCTGGTTGCAGTGTCCAAGGAAAGAAAGACTGTGAGGCAGCATATATTGTGACTTAAAGCTTTTGTCTAGAGGTGACATGTCACTTCACATTTATTTGATCAAAAAAAGTCACATGGCTATGCCTGTGTTCAACAGAGCAGGGAAGTGCATAATTGCCATTTGCCATGAGACAAGAGGGAAGCAAATATATATCAACGACTTTAACAGCTACAAAACTACCTGGGAACAGGGAATGGAATTTTTAGATCCAACAAGACAGGAAAGAAAAAAGAAACAAGCTACATAGAAATTTGTAAAATCCATAATATAGCAAGATCAAGTTATTTCCTCATAATAAGCACGAACAGGTTAAATTCTGGAATCCCTAGGCTTGAGTAAAAACACGAAATCCCATTTTGCTATTTGCAAAATCTAAAACACTGTCATAGATTATGAAGAGATGAAAAAAAATATACCAGGCAAATGCTAAAGAGTAAACGTGGCTGTGTTAACTTCAGACTAAATAGAACTCAAGGTGAAAATCAGTAAACGGGACAAAGATTCTTTTGGCTGATACGTACCGTGTTGCAGAAGATTTTTAAAATATATCTGCAATTTGATATGCTGATAAATATGCAGAGCAACTGGAGTTCCTCACAGCTAGAAGGAATGTAAAATGACTCAGTCACTCAAAACAGGCAGTTTCTTTAAATGCTAACATACCCATACCATATGACCCTGGGTATTTAGAGATGAAAACTTACGTTCACACAAAACCTATGCATGGATATTTATAGCAGCTCCATAGTCACCAAGATGTCTTCCAACAGGTGACTGGATAGAGATGCATCTATATTATGGCATACATGTCACAATTTGGATGAATCTCAACATCCTATGCTGAGTGAAAAAGCCAGTCTCAGAAGGCTACATTCTGTATGATTCCGTTCATATGACATTCTTGAAAAGACAAAACTATAGTGACAGAACAGATTGGTGGTTGCCAAGTGTTGGGGTTGAGGGGAGTTGATTACAAAGAGGCCGTGAGAAGGAGGGTTTTTTTTTTGTTTTTTTTGGTGATAAACCTTTTTGTATTCTGAATATGGTGGTAAGTAACATGAGTCTCTATGTTCAAATTTATAGAACTGCACACTTTCAAAAAAATCAGTTTTACTGTATAATATTAGAGCTGAAAAAAACTCAGACCCCTCTTGCCCGTTAGTAGACCAAGATATGAAAGATACCGTCGAACATAAATAATTTTGTATCCGTCATGAATACAAAGCGTATTCTCTTGGAAAACCAATGGAACATTCATATAAATGATTCATATGAAGGAAAAAAACCTTGCAAAATTCAAAGATCATACAGATCATGTGTTCTTTGTATAATGTAATAATAATAACAAAGGGGCTGTCCACTTGGAAACTTTCAAGTGATCTTCTAAATAACTCAAAGGAGAAATTCAAACAAATTGCAAACTGCTTAGAATTAATAAAAAATACTTCTCTAAAGCTGAGGAATTCTACCCAAATAGGTGTTAGAGGAAATTTTATAGAATTTGATTTACTTCCCAGAAAGAAGATAAAAGAGATGAATTAAAAGTTTAAAACTAAGGAAAAGATAAACCAGGCATGGTGACTCACACCTGGAGTCCCAGCTCTTTGGGAGGCCGAGGCAGGTAGATCACCTGAGGTTGGGAGTTTGAGACCAGCTTGACCAACATGGAGAAACCCTATCTCTACTAAAAATACAAAAATTAGCTGGGCATGGTGGTGCATGCCTGTATTCCCAGCTACTCAGGAGGCTGAGGCAGGAGAATCGCTTCCACCTGGGAGGTGGAGGTTGCACTGAGCCAAGATCACACCATTGCACTCCAGCCTGGGCAATAAGAGTGAAACTTCATCTCAAAAAAAAAAAAAAAAGAAAAAAGAAAACGAAGAAGATAAACCAAAAGAAAGGTGAGGAATTGGTAAAAAGCAGAAATGAGTAAAATACAAAGCAAATTTTGATCAGTGAAACAGGATTTTTAAAAGACAAACCATTGTAAACTATGATAAAGAATAAAAAGCAAGAAGTAACTAACAAAAATTGCCAGCATTGGGAATAATTTTAGAAGGATACCTACAAATATAACAGATATTTTTAATTATAATTGATAATTTATTACAAATAACTGTATAGCATCAAACCAATAAATTTGAAAGACTAGATGAAATGTGACTTTTAAAAAATATGGATTGTAAAAATTGATAAAAAGTAGAAAAAGTAAATAAACATCTTAGGAGAAATTGAAAAAATAGGACAAGAACTTATTTTTAAAAAGAGGCCGGGCATGGTGGCTCACGCCTGTAATCCCAGCACTTTGGGACGCCGAGGCAGGCAGAGCACCTGAGGTCAGGAGTTCAAAACCAGCATGGCCAACGTGGTGAAACCCCATCTCTACTAAAAATACAAAAAGCCAGGCTTGGTGGTGGGCACCTATAATCCCAACTACTCAGGAGGCTGAGACATGAGAATTGCTTGAACCCAGGAGGCAGAGGTTGGAGTGAGCCAAGATTGCACCACTGCACTCCGGCCTAGAAGACAAGTGAAACTCTGTCTCAAAAACAAAAGACAGGCAATTAGAAAAACTTTTAAGGGGCCAGGTGTGGTGGCTCACACCTGTAATCCCAGTGCTTTGGGAGGTCAAAGTGTGATGATCACTGAGACCAGCAGTTTGACATTAGGCTAGGCAAGCTCTTGTCTCTACAAAAATTTAAAACATAACAACAACAACAACAAAAACTTAGCCAGGCCTAGTGGTTTGTGCATGTAGTCCCAGCCACTCAGGAGACTGAGATGGGAGGATCACCTGAGCCTGGGAGTTCAAGGCTGCAATGAGCTGTGATCATGCCACCACTGCTCTCTAGACTGGGCAACAGAGTGAGACCTTGACTCAAGAAAAGAAAAAGGAAAACCTTCCAGGGTCACATTTATTTGTAAACCATTCCAGAGGATAGAAAAGTGATGTAAAACTCTCTAATTCATTCCATATGGTTAGCATAATCCTTATAGCAAACTGCACAAATAAAGCACAAGGAAAACTAAGCCAAATTCAATTAATGTAGGTGCAAAAATCCAAAATAAAACTAGCAGTTTGCATTCAGCAGTGTAGTAAAAGAGACATCATTTTCAAGTAAGATTTATATGAAAACATGCAAGATTGAGTCAAGAGTAACTCACTGTAGCTCACGAAATTAACAGAATTATATAGTCATCTTCACAAGCTGAAAGAGCGTGTGATAAATTCCATGTCCTCTGGTACTCTTAACAGTCTCGAAATAGAAAGAAACTTCCTTAGCTTAGCTTCTTGGCTTGATTAAATATACCTCACAGAAATCTACAGGAAACAAACGGTGAAAAGTTTTTGCTAAGACAAAAACGTTACTAAAAGGTATGCATTTTGGGAAATGAGACAAGGCTGTCACTGTTTGTAAATATGGGTTTTTTTTTGGACAAAAAATTCCCCATGATGATCTATTGAGATGCTCTTACAGCTAATAAAGCCTAGTAAGGAGGCTGTGCACAACACCAACACACTGGTATGAAAAGTGTTTGTGTACACCAGCATAACCGATTAGAAAACATATGAGGAAGTAGACTCAAATCAACAATAGCTGCAAGAAGTATTATCTAGAAGTAAGGTTAACAAGAGAAATGTAAGGCCTATAATGAATAAAATGATAAATCTATGCTACAGTATATAAAAGAAACACAAAAATAGAGGCACGCCATTTATAAGACCCAACATAATAAATATATCAGTTCTACCAAATTAATTTATAAATTCAAAGCAATTTCATATAACCACAGCAAAACTTTTTAAATGGATGTAATAACCTGATTGTAATGTTCATCTGAAAGGCATCAGGCATAAAGCAATTTTGATTAGATCTCAAAGCCATCCATGGAGCTAGAGTAAATGTGCTGATCACACAGAAATAATCACAGGTATGTAACCAAGAACCTAGGAACAGAACACTTTATATGTAGATATAAATATAGATATAAAATGGCATCACAAGTTGGTAGAGAAGGGTTTGAACTATTCAGTAAATGATATTGAGGTTATTTACTACTTGTTATTATATCATGGATGAAAAAAATGAATTAAACATGGAAATGTAAAAGTAACTAGAAGAAAATACTGGAAAAAATTGTAATAAATTTGGTGTAAGAAAGGCATTCCCAACCAATACACAAAACCCAGAAGCCATGAAAGAAAAAGAAATGATAGATTTGATTACACTTTGACAAAATTAGATTTTATAAATAAAAGAATGGGAAAATATATGTAATAAAACAGAAGATTTAAGATGCGTAATATAAAAACACCTACAAACAAAATGAAAATTGGGCAAAGGACATAAAAATATTTTGTAAATAAGGAATACAGACTACAAACAAAAATAATTCAACTTCGTAAGCAATCAGGAAAATAAAGTTAAAATGAGATACTGTTTTTCAATACATTGAAATGGCAGATATTAAAGATTGGTGATAGTGCTGGAGATAATGTGAGGAAAGGAGTATCTCAGTCATTGTAGAAATTGATACAGCTTTCTGGGTGGACAGTTTAACAGTGTTTATCAACACATGAAACGTCTCCAGCCTTTGATCTAATGACTAATTGTAGGCATCCAGCCTAAAGAAATATTCACACAAGTGCTCAAAGAGTCAGATACAAGACTATGTGAAGTATTTTTTAAGATAATAAAAAATTAGAAACAGCATAAATGTACAGAACCGCAGAAATTGTTGAATTAGTACGTACCAACGACTGACATATAATACTCTGCAGCAGATAAAGACAATAGCTCTCTAATGTGGACAGAAAATATTTCTAAGACATTGACGGAAAGAACAAGTTGCACAGCACCCACACACTCCTGTTTACATTTGTGTAGTTAAAACCTATTTGTAGCACATATGCGTGTGTGCACCTGAGAAAACAATCTTTGGTTATATGTATCAAGCTGTTGACAGTGATTTTGTCCGCTGAAGGAGGAATAAAGGGGGGCTTCTCACATTTTACTCCATTTGATTCTAGGATGTTTGATTGAAAATAAACATGTTTTTATGTAAAACAGATAATTTTTAAAATTCTTTTTCATCATAGTAAATGAAAAAAATGTGTACTCTGTTATCCTTCATGCTCTGTGTCCATTTTTTTTCTTCAGCAATTTGTCTGACCTATTTCCTTATCAATCTGAATGAAAAGGAGTTTTACTACATAACCTTTTTTCAGAGCTTTGTATTCCTGAAGTGTTGTAATTGCCTGCATAGCATAGTCAAAGGTTTTTAACTTAATCACAACCCACAGTAAAAATGAAGTTTTCTGCAAAGTAAAAAGTAGTAGTTGTGGCCCCAACCTTCCTTGTGTGCACATGTCATTAATGGAAAATTGCACCAAACAACTCTTATTGTACTTCTAGTGACTCATGCATGTGCTTTCTATTCCATGCCTTTAAAGAAAATTATGTTGGCAACCCACTAAGTATGTTTCGCAATTCACTAATAGGTCATGTCCTACCGTTTGGAAACACTGCCTAGCGTTTCAAACATCTGCTCTGTCTACCTCTGACAAACTGCTACTGGTAGGACAACACAAGTCTTTCCTGCATTTGTTTTATTTTATGGCTAAAAGCCATTTCTGCATTTGCAGATTACTTCCAAGACCTACCTTCCTTGAGCTCTTTAACTTTCAATAGTCTTGTGGTAATTTTCTTCAGAACCCTTTTGTGACACTGAAAACCTGAGTCTTCTTCAAATTCACACTCTACCTGAGAGTTTTCAAATATAATTTGGTCAAAAAGTTAAAAAACAAGAAGATTTTGCCCCGTGACTGGAGCACTGGGTTGGTACACCTGGTTGCTAACAAAGGCACATAGTGAGTGATTGGGGCTGAAATGGCTCAGAGAATGCCCAGATTCTCTAAGTGCAGTTTGTACATTTTAAACCACTGTGAATTGGGGGGAAAAAAAAGGCCACCCTGACAGTTTAGAAATAGATAAGGACCCACTTATAGATTAAATAATAATTAGCTTGTTCCAGAGAGATCAGTGAAAATTAGTTGGTTTATTTAATGTCTTAGAAAGATGGTCATCAAAGTCCTTCAAATGTGAAGGCAGCTTTTGTCTCTTTAAGAAAACAAGAAAACTCCACAAAATCTTAAGAGCTAGATAATCCTAGTTCGGCATCTTAAATGCTAAAATTTGAGTAGGGTTTGAAAACACTAAAATCAGTACGCCAAATAACCAGCTCTTAACCTAAGAATCGAGTTCCTTATTGTAACTGGATAGGAGACACTTTTATATATTATTCCAAATCTCACAAACCTATAAAGAGTAAAAGCTGTTATTATTTTAAAGAAGAAGAAATGAGATCCAAGAGGTGTAGATTAACTTGGTTAGGGGGCTTCAAGTAGCACAAGGTAGAAGCAGGATTTGCTGACTTCGAAACCTGTTTTCTTCCTTCACCGTGTTGCCTTTGCATCTTTCCTGAACAAATATTGTTCCACAAACATTTACTGTCACCGAGTATAACAAAAGAACAGAGCCATGTAACAGAGAGGCCGCAGCATTGAGTCATACCCAGGTTCACACTGCTGCTCACGGGAGAGGAAACTGCAAGCTCTTTTTGTGATGCATGGCTGGAATGGCAAGTGAGGCTAAGAAACATGGTATTCATTTTCTATTCTTTATGGACACCTAGGCTTATATCACTTTCTACAGCTGCTCTCTTTTCCAATTTAGTTGGTATAACGACTGCAAGTTTAAATTGGCTAATGCCTCAAAATGTTTTGTTATAGCTTTCCATTTCATTCATTTTTGTTTTTGTAAAAATTGCTGGGCACAGTGGCTCACGCCTGTAATCCCAACACTTTCAGAGACTGAGGCAGGCAGATCATCTGAGGTCAGGAGTTCGAGACCAGCCTGACCAACATGGTGAAACCCTGTTTCTACTAAAAATACAAAATTGGCTGGGCGTGGTGGCTCGTGCCTGTAATTCCAGCTACTCGGGAGGCAGAGACAGGAGAATCACTTAAACCCAGGAGGCGGAGGTTGCAGTGAGCTGAGATCATGCCATTGCACTCCAGTTTGGGCAACTCCGTCTCAAAAAAAAAAAAAAAAAAATTAAATATTGAAGATTTTAATTTAAATAAATTTTCTCTGAAATCATTCACCCTACATGTGAAGTCCATGGTGGTTAAGCCCTAGATGTTGAATATAAAAGACAAGATAGAGTGTGGTGTTTTTTCTCACTAATAAGAGTAGATTTGTCCTGAGTCTTTTCCTGGGGTTAACATTTTAGACCTTTCACTTTAAAACAGAGCTTCAGGTCTAAAATCATCAATTGCCTGTGATTTTGCTGTGCTTTTCAAGTGATTGCTTTCTTCAAGAGGACCATGATGAAACTTTCCACAAACCTGAGTTAAATCATCTTTGCAGTTTACAAAGATTATAATCATTTAGGATTTCTCCATGTTTCTCATCAGGAAACCCGTGATTTTTCTCTACAAACACAATTCTTATCCATCTGGCTATTCTATCTCACCTGTTCTCCATAAAGGAAAGTCTCATGCCTTTGGCCTCTGTTGGAAAGGTCCTTGGCCTCCTATATCTGCCATAGCCCTGCAGGCTGAAGCACCAGTGGGCCTCCTATCAGGAGAAACTCCCAGGGAAATGAGAAATAACTTCATTTCTCCAAGGACTTCACAGTCCCATGTGGCTGAGGCAGGGTGCTTGCTAGAGCTGGGAAAATCTTACCTTAAGAGATGCCTCTTAGAAAGGGGTTTACTTTTAATGGTTTTGAGAAGCAGCAGCTTCAGAGGAGAGCTACCCCAGCAGGAACACAGGCCTCAGGCAACCCTGGACTTCTGCCAGGCTTGGGGAGGGCCCCATGGCAGCAGTACTGACTTCACAAGACTGGATTTCTGCCAGTTAAGTTCACAAGTCATGGACTCAGGACAGCTGCACAAGAGAGTGGCATTTTGGAGAGCCTGAAGCCAAGGTTCTTCTGCAGGGGACTGCAGCTGTGCAGGAGCCAGACTTCATCACCATTGCTAAATGAGTCCTCTGGCTGACCCCAAACCAAAAAAAAAAAAAAAAACTGGAGAGGAAATAATTTTGGGATTTTAATTTCTTTAGACCTCAATTTTCAAGAAAAATTACATTTTTTTAGACCTTAATATCTCCCTGAGAATTTAATAATGTGAAGTATTTCATATATTTCAAATCAGGGCATTTTAATATTGCTGGCATTTATTATTTGGAGAAGTTTTATGCCTTCATTTGCGTTCACTGCATAATCTCTAGTGAACTCTATCGAATGTCCTACCAGAGAAAATGTAAGATGGAAAACAGACTGGGGAGTGAATTTCCAGCCTAGGGCATTTATGACCTTCAGTAAATGCAACCAATGTTCTATTCTTACCCATTTCAGAACCTCCAGATTCCAATCACTGACCTCAGGAGGATTCCTGAAGAGTTGTGATTGACAGCCGGGATCAGTCTCCCGGATGAGGGGGAAGGCTCAGGGACACTCAGCTCCCTTGCCCAGGGTGAACAGCTGCATTTGGTTATGCTACACCCTACGGGTTAAGAAAGCCAAATGAGGCCCGCACCCTGTGGCTCATGCTTGGAATCCCAGCACTTTGGGAGGCTTAGGCATGTGGATTGCTTGCATCGAGGAGTTTGAGACCAGCCTAGGCAACATGGCAAGACTCCATCTCTACAAAAAGTTTTAAAATGTGCAGTATACCTATGTAACAAATCTGCACACTTTGCACATGTATCTCGGAACTTAAAGTAAATACAAATCTTCAAAATAATAATAAATAAAAATTAGCCAGGCATGGTAGCACACGCCTGTAATCCTAGCTAGGTAGCCTCCTACCTAGCTGAGGTAGGAGAATCACTTGAACCTGGGAGGTGGAGGCTGCAGTGAACCCTGTGATAGTGCCATTGCACCCCAGCCTGGGCAACAGAGCAAGACCCTATCTCCAAACAACAAGAACAACTAAGAAAGCCAAACAAGAAACACTGGGAGGCAAGGGAAAGGGACATTTTCCCTCTCTCTTCAGATGTCAGCCTAAGTCATAAAGTCCTCAGATGTTTTGGGGACCAAGCTTTCTTCTTTTCAGACTACCTATATCCTCCCAGGATGAACGAATGACTCATTCAGGCTGCTGAGGTTGGCAAAAGGCTCATTATGCAGGTTGGCCTTCTCCCTCTGCTTCTCCTTTGGATCTTGCCTGTCCCCAAGTAGCATACGGTTTTGTCTTTGGTCTTGTTCATTTTCTGTAGTTGATTCACAGGGGACTTCTCTGACTCTGTTGCAAGGCAGGACATAGCAGGCCTGCCACTGCATTGTAAGTAAATTCCATTTGCTGGGGAGGAGGAATGGGAAGACCAGCTTGCACCTGGCTTCCAGTCATATCTCCAATCCACATTGAAAAGGACTGAAGCTGCGATTACTATCTTTACTGGAGTCTATTGTGCTTCTGTGAACAGGTTTAAGTTGGATTCAGAACTTTGGAGGGGAGAAGGATTGTAGTAATAAAAAAACACTCAATATGGATCATCTTCCTTCACATGTCAAGAAACATGACTGTGGCTGGGCATGGTGTCTCACTTCTGTAATCCCAGCACTTTGGGAAGCAGAGGCAGGTGGATTGCTTGAGCCCAGTAGTTTGAGACCAATCTAAGCAACATGGCAAAATCCCATCTAGCCAAAGAATACAAAAATTAGGAAGGTTGGGTGGTACACACCTGTAGTTCCAGTTACTTGGGAGGTTGAGTTGGTTGAGTCTGAGGAAGTCAAGGCTGCAGTGAGCTGGGTGTGATCGCACCACCTTGGGTGACAGAGTGAGATGTTGACAAAACAAACAAACAAACAAAAAAAAAAGGAAAGAGAAAGAAACATGACAACTCTAGAGTTCCACCCCCACAGCATAGCTTCTGAGCTTCTGTCATAGGAAAGACCAATTTTCTCAGTTCTAGTTAAAAATCCTGGGGAAGTATCTTACATCTATTAGGACAGATACTATTAACAAAACAAAACAGAAAATAAGTGTTGGCCACCAGTTAGAATGGCGATCATTCAAAAATCTGGAGACAACAGATGCTGGAGAGGATGTGGAGAAATAGGAACACTTTTACACTGTCGGTGGGATTGTAAATTAGTTCAACCATTGTGGAAGACAGTGTGGCGATTCCTCAAGGACCTAGAAATAGAAATTCCATTTGACCCGGCAATCCCATTACTGGGTATATATCCAAAGGACTATAAATCATTCTACTATAAGGACACATGCACACGAATGTTCCTTGCAGCACTGTTTACAATAGCAAAGA